CTTTGGATATGAAAAAAATTATGACACAAAAAACCTCCATAAACAAAGGTGAAAAGACTAACTGCAAAATATTTCATAACAAAAATGCCTTAGGGCCAGGGATTTAACTCAGTGGCATAAGCCCCTTCCTTTTAAGTGCGCAGTTGTGAGTTCAATCTCCAGTACAAAAAACATATATATATATTAAATATTAAAAATATCTAAAAGCAACTTGAAATAGGAAATTTATCATTTTAAGAAGTCAACTGGTCAGCACTCAGGAGGCTGAGGCAAGAGGATTATTCCAAGTTCGAGACCAGCCTGGGCGACAAAGTGGATCCAAGACTAGTCTGATTTGCATAGAGAGACTGTCTCACCCTGCCCCCCCCCCCAAAAAAAAGAATAGGAGTTTAAGACAGGATAGTGTGGCACATACCAGTAACACCAACAGTCAGGAGGTTGAGGGAGGCCTGCCACAACTTTGAGATCAACCTGAACTACATAGTGAGAACTTGTCTCAAAAAAGCAAAATAGAAGAAAGAAGATGACCTATAGTTAATGTGAAATTCATTTTTAAAAGCCAACAAAATTATACAGTAATTAACACCTATCTGAGGTGGATTATTTCTAACAGCAAAAAATACTGTAGAAACAAAGTAAATATTCACTAGGAGGAACTAGTTAAACAGAGTACGGCGAGAGCTACAACACAGCTACAATAAAGAATAAGGAAAAGCAGTAGGTATCGAGAGGCAAAGAAACTTATTAGCCTTTTATTTTAAATTCATTTGTTGTTCAAATTTAGATTGTTGTCTTGTAGTGCTGGAAATCAAACCCAGGGCCTCATGCATACCTGACAGGTGCTCTACCACTGGGCCATAACTCAAGTCCCAAATATTTTTAATAAACTGGTAGCTCTTTAAAATGTAAACACTCCATAAAAACTAATCATATCCATATGTATTACTCAAAATAATCTATTAAATCCTAGAACTTGGGAGGTTGAGGCAGGAGGATCACCATGGCTTTCAGCACACACGGCGTGCTCAAGTGTGGTCTAAACTAAATGGCAAGACCTGTCTTAAAATAAGTAAATTAATTAATAAATAATAAATATAAATTTTTTAAATTTAAAGGCCAAAATAATCTATTAAAAGTTTTTTGATGCTCCAAGATGAATCTCAAGAATTTATCATTTAACAAGATTCCCTTTATAATTTGCATATAGTAAGCAATTTGTGCCTGTTTGAATTTCAGACATCTACTACTAGTTACGTGACTATTACTTAGGCAATTTAATGAGAATGTCTCAAAATACATATACAATTTTTTTAAACTGTATTAAGGGTTGGGGATGGGTGCTATACCATGCACCTGTAATCCTAGGTACTTTGGGGGCTGGAGCAGGAGGATCACAAGTTTGAGGCCTGCTTGAGCAAAAGCCTGGGCAACTTCTGACTGTCTCAAAACAAATATTAGCAACGGATGAGAAGTAGCTCAGTGGAGGAGCGCCCTCGAGTTCAATCCCCACTGCCACAAAAAGTGGGGCTGGGGCCGGAGGTGGGGCTCAGAAGTAGAGAGGCCGTCCCCAGGAAAGGCGTGGAGTCAGTGTCCTGGCGGGGGCACACAGGGCAGTGTTAAGTGCTCTGTGACTGTTTCCTCACCTGTAAAAATGCCCTCATAGGACTAAGGAGCACAAGAGTTACCTAGGCAGCGCTGCCAACAGCATTACCATGGAGGGGCAGCTGCCATTGCTAAGTACAATGCCCTGCCACTCTCCCGACTGCACAGACAGCAGTGATACCTGGGACCTGGTACCCGGAACCCAGAGAGAAAGGAGTGACATGGAATTCTCTCCTAGCTGAATATTCTCTGGCAATGCAAACTTGGTAGCTTCTTAATTTACAAATAGAAGAAAAAGAAATGTATTCAGTTAAATGAATAGGCAAAGGCAAATCCTATTCTGAGACAGATCCAACTTTTCTAAATCCCACTTCTGCTGCTGCTATCTCTTAGCACCTGAAGCTTCTCAGGTTTCCATGGTTCTCTTGTTTAAAGGACTTGTTTTAGGTTTTCTCCTTACTGACAAGAAAAAAAGCTACTCTGGCCAGACACAGTGGCACACATCTGTAATCCCAGCACTTGGGAGGCAGAATCAGTAGGACCATGAGTTCCAATTCAGCCTGGCTAGACTGAGGCCCTGTCTCAAAATGGAGGGCACAAGAGAAGACTTCATCTGTTGATCAGAGCATACAAGTACTCTTCTGGGTTTCAGGAGTCACACAAGCTTTGCTGGAAACTTCTCTTCCTAAGGCTCAATCAGAACTGCTCACTTTATCCTGTTCAATACGGGCAGGGCCCTTCTCCAGGGACAAGAGGTTTTTCTCTAGGAACCAACTCAGAGCCAACAGCAGGAAAAGGTCACAGCACAGCTCTTGCTTCTTTCTTTAGTAACACCCTTTGCATCCAGGTAATGCTCTCCTTCCTTTGAAGCCCAGGCCCCTGGGCCCTGATGCCGTCTGCCATATGCCTTATTTCTCATATCGTTGTGTGGTCACAAACACGGTTTCTTTGCAGCAGTGAGGCGCAGCAAACAACACTGTGCATGGAATTCAGCAGACCGGGGCTCAAACTTCAGCTCGTTTTAAGAGCCATGCGACCGCAAGAAAGCTCCTTAACCTACGACTTGGTTCCTTTGCATTATAAAATGGAGATTTTCTGCTCCAGAGTGACACTGAGATTACAGAAAGTGAAGTAGGTGAATCTAAAGTAGACCCCAGGAGAGGCTACACCCTCGGTGAATTTGGAAGACCTTGTGAATGAGGTTAAAATTAAGCTCTTCTGCTCTGAAAGTACAGTACAGACAAGCTTATTTAAAAGAGGGCTGGGGATTTAGCTCAGTAGTATGGCACCTGCCTGGCAAGTACAAAGTTCTGAGTTCAACTCCTGATACCAAAATAAATAAAATAAAAGTAGGGAGAGGAAAGAGAATGTTGAAGCAAAGTATCTTTTGAAAGACCATTAATACCAAGCCTTTCACAAAACATCCCATTATAGTATTTCTAAAGGGACTATTCAAATTCAGTTCTTGCCCCTCAAAATATAATATATATACCACTACTTGTGAGCAGTAGGACATTACAGTGGGCTGCACTGCTTTCTGAAGCACGTGGCTTATGATGTGCCAAGATCCTGGGGCTTGATGACACAGCCAGTGTCATATCACAGAAAATATCAGTAGAAGATCTAATAACCCCATTGATCTTGTACCTACTGCTGGATAAAAATCCACTTCAGAATCAAAATTATGCTATTAAGGAAAACAACTAACAACCTTAAAAAAAAAACCTGCAATATTCGGTCAAAGGAACAACTTAATAAATGGATATACTGTTTATAAATGTATTAACATGTCAGTTCTTTCCAGAGAATACTGTTTGTGTGAAACTTTTAAGAGCATAATCAAACTTGACAACACAGGTACTAAACTTCATCATAAAATGTGAGTGTCCTACATGTAAGTGTGAATACCGTACGGGACCCCTCATTTGAGTGAGGCAAATGACAAAGAAATTGCTAAGAGGGACAGAAAAGGCAAAGGGGACAGATCTTATCTAACAGGGAAGTGGTCCAGGGAAACAAGGAGTGGGCAGACGGGAAAGGGAAATGAGAGGAATAAAGTTGTGCCATGTATACAAGTAAGCCATAACGTGTGTCAACACAAATAGTATCAACAAGTACACACAAGCTGACAGGGAAGGGGGAGGATTATTTAAAAAAGGCTGCAGTATATACAGATAACCACTCCCCAGGATGATTATAAACTCCATGAATTATAAACATGTACTAATAAAAAAGTCAATGTCCTAGAATAGCTACCCCCCCCAACAAGTAAGATAGCTTTCCTATCACTACAATAAAGCACCCAACTACCATGATCACAATGGGGCACTGGTACACTTAAACGCTTGGAGCATATCAGGGGTTCTACTACCAAGGTGCTTTAGAAGTTATTAATACAACCACCCATGGTTATGAAGCCCATTTTTCAGATGATGAAACTGAGATCGATAAAAAAGTTAACTGCATAGGATCAAGGCAGTGTTGTGAACTGTAGGATCTGTTCATTAAATTAAGGGGGGAAAAAAAAACCCTAAACAACCTGGTATAAAAAATAGACAAAGGTTGTAACATGTAATTATATTACTATGCAAAACACATGTATCTATGTATTTAAAAGTTCAACCTCAGAAATACCTATCAGGGTGGGTAACAGTGGTGGGCGCTGAGTATCCATACATACCGGGCTTAACAGTGCTGGGCACCGAGTATTCATACACCCTGGACTAAACAGTGCTGGGCACCGAGTATTCATACACACGGGGAGCGCCTACTTACATAGCATCTGTGGAAGGCGCTCTGACATCTGCACTTTCACAGCAATTTTCTTCCAGGATCAGACACAAACACAAAATGCCACACATACGGAGGACGTGTAAAACTGACACAGTGAAAAGAATGAACTGGCCAACAACAGGGGAGAGGTGAACACTTAAAACATCCACACACAGGAAGACTGGGATACACTCTCAGCACAAAAAAAAGCAACTCATGGACTATGTACATTTTAACCCACTTGTTAAAAAGAACCCCAAAAATGAGAAATAGAGAGACTACAAAAAAGATGATATTTACATAAATAGGTTGAAAAATGCATTTTTAAGAAAGTTTACAAGGGTCCACACACAACCTAAGGTATCTGGGAATACCTTGGAGAAGGGGTATAGTTGGGCTGAGGAGCTGAAGGTGTCTTTACACTAAATATTCTTCTCTGTAACAAGATATTTAATGTATTTGCAATTTTGAGAAAAGACAAAAACAAGTGACAAGAATTTACAACCTTGTGCTCGTTTGTTTAAAAAAGAGGAAGTTGAATAAACCAGTGAAAACACTAACCAACCACAGAGAATGAGAGGACAATAAAATTAAATATCAAGAATAACTATTGACACCTATGAAGATTCAAAGCAACTGACACAATAAATTTTATTGTTTCCATAATAGGCTCTAGACAAAATGAAGACAATGGGGACAATGACAACACATTTAAACTCATCACAAATTAATCTGTTACAAATTTCCAGTGGTTCAACATATTAAAGAGTAAAATATATAAAGAAAAAAACAATATATAAATATTCATATTTTGCAGCACAATGCAATGTCTTTTTAAAAAGTTTGCTAATTATGTCCTAACTCTGACAATGATACAAAAACACAAAATCAGACCTTTTTTCCTAATCTTTCCCATGATCTGGATCTGAAGATTACAGTATTAGAGAAATATGCAAGAATAAAACAAGTTTAGTGCTCAGAGATAAATAATTTCCTTATTTTAATGCATAAAGGTTCCAAGATTTCCATTCAAAAAAAGCTAATCACTGAAGTATGCGGATAAATAAAACAGATTTGACAACACTATTATAATCAAACCCAACTAATGATATACTAAAAATATATGTGTATACATATTTATATATGCAATGTCTAGTTCAGAAAAAAAAAAGATGCCTTGGTGAAAATGATTCAGAAAATAAGTCACTAATGCACATTATGTACAAAACCTTCTGTATACAAAATTAAACTGTTTTCAACGAAGTCCCATGTTTATATCCATCTGAAACCAGTCCTTGAGAGATAAGTAGGTCTACTAATGGTTTCTCTTTGAAACTGTGACTAAGGCAGCTCTCTGTCCAACATTTTCTCTTATCCACCTGTCACCACTAGTAGGAACACAGGTAAATACTACACAGATGCAACCCGAATCGCCTCTGCTGTACTGGAGCTCTGTTCCGTGTTACAATTGGGGAGAGTAGAGTTGCTACAAAGAATATTTCTCTTGCTTAAAATATACTGATTCTCTATTCCAAATTAAGCACTTACTTAAGAAATTAAGAGGCTGAGAAGCCACTCCATTTGGTGTCAGTATCAATAGCCCTATAAGAAAGAATTCTGTATTGGAATAGTTAGAAAAGTTCTCATTTAAGGTAGTAATGCATCCTTCACCTGCATAGAATCAATTTGGTTTAGTAGCTCTTTGCCCCAGAACACCAGTCTGGAGTTCAAATATGTATGCTCCTGAAGGCCCATCTCAGATATCCAAGAGATCTCATACAAGCAATAAGAAAACACATAGGGAATCCAAGCTGTTAAAATCTGTTTGATGAGTCTTGCAGCACTCCTCATCTGGAGTAGCTGGTGAAAGTGGAAACAAAAATGGCAAAGGTGGGGCCACTGAGTTGTCAAATATTTACACCAGTAACTATTTAGTAAGTCTGTAAGCAAACAAAATGAAAGGGTACATCTCTAGCTCATCATTCCATAAGCAGTGAGGAGCTGACAAACTCAACACCTAAAAAAGGGGAAACAGTCTGAGGCAAAAGTTGTAGGTCCGTAAATATATATTTTATCTGCACACACAATTGTGTTTTATTTTGTATATATTTACATATATATCCACAAGATGCCCTGCAGTGTAGTTTAAAGGCCTGCAAAAAGGAACAAACTACTCTAGGAGAGGCCCTGGACGTCATACCAGCTATGTAAGAAACTGCTGTAACCCTTATGAACAAAGACATTACTATTAACATCAAGTTAGTAATAAGTTTGGGCTATTGGTTTTTTACCACTACCAATTAGTATGTCATCACAACATTTGTTACACAGAGAATAAAAAAAAAAAAAAAGAACACTAGCCAGATTTTAAATTCACAAGAAAAAAGATGCTCAGTATGGCAAACAAAGTTCAAATTCCAGAGTAGGGAAAAATATCAAAACTTTATAAATCTCCTGGGATGCAATTCAATTACTGCATCATTAGAAAAATAGGCTCATAGAATGATCGGTGCTGCTAAGGGTTCTCTCAAGACATCCACCCATGTTTATCTTTTTCCTCTTTTATTTCCAGCTGGAGGTTTCTTCAACTGAAGGAGTTGTCCTCCTGTTCCAAAACCTGCAGATGCAGGATTGGACACCCCAAATGTCAAACCAGCTGATGCCGTGATGCCAGGATTGCTGAAGTTAAACCCAGATGTACTTGAGCTGCCAAATCCTTATTTTTAGGGAAGAAAACATTTATATCAGAAGTGAAATCTCTCTCTCTTTTACACATACACACACACACACACACACACACACACACACACACACACACCATTAAAAACACGAGTGATAAATGTCTTTCTGAAAGAAGAATAGCAAATATCTTAGGGACTTGAATTTTTAACATGGAATTTTACAGATTAATAATTTAACAATTAAATGGAGCCCTCAAACACACAAGCTTGGCAATTCAGGCCAAAAGAGAAGCCTCAGCACAGAGTAAGTAAAATCTACAGCAAACCAAGTTAGCAGAAACTTTCCTGTTAATTAAATACATTCAAGCTCCATCACAAAATTTTGAAAGAGAAATTTTCACAACATTTGGAATCTTAAATCCTCCAAGAAAGCTTCTATTCACAGGGTTAAGGACAATGAATATACAAAAGAGCAGTATAGATTCAAACTGAAAATTTTAAGAGCCCTTGTAAATAAAGATCAAGCACTCTTACTGCCTAGTTAGGTAGGCAGCATTATTTATAGTTTTGATACCACTCACTAAATTCTGTATCTTACTATATTGAAATTGCTGATTTTAAGAACTACTTAAATTTTCTATCAGTCAAAAGATCAGACCTAGAAAAATGCAAATTAATCATCAGTTATAAGACTGTGGTATTCTTAAAATCAGAGGGACTTAGAAATGAAGATTTCTTTGAAACAAAAATATGTCTCTTGAATGAGTAATGATAAAAGTAGATTAAACTTTTAACATTTTGGTTTCATTTTTGCAATACTGAAGACAACTGTTTAACATGAATAAAGTCATTAGGGCTCAAATTCATCTCTAGTTTTAAGAGAGGATACGATTATTACATAAAACTAAGAAATCCTGTTAAAAAATCTCATGCTTGGCATGATTGTGCACCCCTGTAATCTCAACACTCAGCAAGGCTGAGGCAGGAGAATCACTGTGAGTGCAAGGCCAGCCTGGGGTACATGATAAGACTCTGTCTCCAAAAAAAAAAAAGAAAGAAAGAAAAAAAGTTACACTCTTATCCTTTAGTTGTTAAGAAATAAAACTATATAATTAGTTAGGCCTTGCGTGCTCCATCCAGGTAGCAGAAACTGAATCAGGGACCTTTTTATATGACTGAAAATAACAATAATTATCCCTTTAAAATAACTTGCACTTTTAAATTTGCCTGGAATTCAGGCAGAAACACACAAACCTGCACTAAGACTTCCTGAGGGTTTATTTGTTGTTCCAAATCCAAATGTGGAGGCCCCTGTGGTGCTGGATCCAAAACCAGAGCTAGTTCCAAATCCTAGTGAAAGGGTAATAAGAGAAATATACAATGGCACATAAAACACAGGTTACAGGATGCTCGCAAGTAAAGCTGAAAAGTATCAAAGGTATAACACAGCATTGAAAACAAAGCCTTATTAAGGAAATCTGCTATTTATTCCTGTGCATAACACTGAGAAAAAACAGACTAATTCTGATATAAACCATTTATTTATAACTATTTAGCCTAAGTTTATGACTCATCAGTAAATTTTAAAGAGTAAGGCCATAAAAATCAAGGTCACATTGATATTTTTCCTTTCAGATGTGTTAGAAATTTTATTGACCATTCAAATATGATTTGAGTTTTAAGTATATGTACTTGATGGCTAATTTATTTGCAAAAAAAAAAAAAAAAAGACTAACGTCATAAACAAGCAAACATGCACAACAAGGTAAACACTGACACAATCTGTTTATCAAAACATTCTCCATTCAGAAGCCTCACCCCTGAAACTCTCTGTATATCCAGTCCATCACTTTATGCCTAGTTCATCAACAGGAGGATGCTGGCCATATCACCGTCGATGTTAAAGTAAGAAACTGATAGTGGGAACATCATGTTTTTCTCTTGATAATCTCACAATTTGAAGTATTTCTCACCACATTAAGTTAATGAAGATATTCTAAGTACTTGAACACTTACTTTTCAGGTGTGCTACAAAATAGTTCAAATTCTTTTCAGATTTTGCCATGGCTTACCTAAAGTACTGAGTTTGACAGTTATCTCTATCTGTAACTCTAAGAAATAGGACGGCAAATGATAACAAGACCATGGAAATTAGCTTACCTGTCATGATTACAGTAATTTCTAATACAGAATAGTTTATATTAAATAATGGTACTAGCTTATAGGCTTTCCCTATTATACGTGCTTTAGTGGAAAAAAGGGAACTTTATTCTATATTACAATGTACTTGCAAAAACACAAAGAACTTTCAACTAAACAATATCAAAAAATTATGAATGCATTTGTATTTATCTAACATTGTTACAGATTTATCTAACTTATAAAACTATTAAAATATACTCAGTAGCTCATATATACAAGTATATATACATATATAGCCACATAAGCTGAAAGTGCTTAGAAATAGACAAATGCCAGGCTGTTTGGTTTATTATAAATTCTTCAGTTAAAGTGTTCATTTCCAGGGGAAAAATAGATAATTACTAGGTCAGCTGTAAATTGACTTCCCAAGTAATACTAAGACTAGTTTTAAAAGTTTAAGTACAGTTAAACTTTAATTCAAGTTCATGATGTCAGCATATTGATTTGAAACTGACCAGCCCTACCACTTAATTTTAATACTCTTTTACATTTAGTAATTATAGAAATTGGAATGATTCTTTAAGTTATAAATTAACAGTACAAAGCAACGATTATGTTTGGAGAATCAGTTTTGCCAGATGGAACTTTAACTTCCAAAATAGCAACAGATCCTCTTAGAAAACGTTTTACAGGCTAGTATCAATTCAAATGTATAAGAGTTTGATAAAGTATTAGAAAAGTTAAAGTGTACCTCCAAGGTTTGAAGAACCTAAGCCACTTGATTGCAAGCCAGTGCCAATACCTGAGGCGAATGGCGTTCCAAAACTAACTCCCAGAGATGGCTGTGGCCCTGGTATAAAAAAAAAAATAGGAGGGGGGAAAAAAAACAAATTTGCCTTACTCTTTCAAGAATAAAGTTCCTTTATGAAATTATTTTAAAACTGAACCGTGATTACTTTTAACAAATCCCACCTGCTAAAACTTGTGTTTTCAAGATCTTTCTGATCTAACTTGTTTGTCACAAATGATTCATCTATCCAAAAAAATTTTTAATTCACCTGCTCAGAACTATAAATTAAGAGGCTTACACAATGAAAGATGTTAGTTTAATCTACTAAATAACTTGAAATCTTTAATGTATTATAAATTATAGTTCTTTTAGATTTATTTCTAGGATTATTTTAGTTCTCTCCACTGGTTTTCATATAAAACTAGTTGGTATAATTAGGTTATTTCTATTTATTTTTAAAGAAGCTACTTACTGTTAAGAGTCAAGTCTCAATTGGTCAAGAGACTGACACTAACATAAAAAAACTATCATGTTACTTCACAAAAATACCCAAAATCTAGGCATTATTTCTTGTATAAAAAGCATAACAATAAATAGATAAAAAACAAGACAATGTTTTATTTTATTAAATTTATTATTCATTTTAAAGCAAACCAATTACATAGTAACATGACAACTCCAACTTGTTCACAAAAAGTGACAACTGAGTTCTATTCTTCAGCTTTGCTACATTACACCACGCATCACCTGATGAAATAAGATAGATAATGAACATTTACAAAGGCACCAGCCGTGTACCTTGACAGATTCAATACATTCAAGATTTCAATTCAGAAGTTCTTTTCCAACATTTTGGAAAATGTACTCAGATACAGAACAATTAGTCATCCTTTTCCCATTTGTTACTTTAAAGATTTGGCTGAGTTTGTTTGGCAAGAATAGCATCAAACTTAACTAGCCTCTCTCTTTTAACTATTTTTTTAAACTAAGAATACAAAAATCTAAAAATCTTTCATTTGATAAATTTATGAAAATTACTCAATAAATTTCATAGTACAATCTTCAGTCTTGTCTTTCAAGCACAGTGATCAGTGCATCTCAAAGTTAAGGGAATCCCAAAGTAGTACACATATTAAAATTTAAATGTTTTAAGAAATCAAAGACTTCAAGTTGTCCAATGATGAATGAAGTTTATTCCAAAGGTAGTGTAAAATATAAAGTATTAAACAAAACAAAAAACTGAGCAACTAACATTTTGCTATACAGGGACAGAAACTGGACTTCTCAAAAAGTTTCTATCCAAAAAATAAACAATAACAACTAATAGCAGCCAATGTTCTTATACTACTATTAAAAAAATAAATTAAAAAAATGACTCAAATTTTTACATCCACTTTTGAGATCAATTTAAGAATAAAACAATTGTCTAGTGACTCTTTTGTAAAATGTTACCATAGGAAAAAGAAACTAAGCGTATTATTTCATTCCTAACAAAAATAATATATAGAAAACATATGTCCAGTTTCTTTAACATTGAGAGACTTCCGTGTCACATGTTAATAGAGGCACTGCTGGTGGAAGACCCTACAGAACAATGCACACCACAGCCCTCAGCCTTACAAGTCACAGGAGTTATGCTTTTTTATTGTGTGTGGGTCTATTTTTAAAAGCAACAGAACATAATTCTCAAATCATCAATATTCAAGATAGTAAGAACTTATATCTAACAATGACAAGACTTTCCATTGCACAACAGATACATGATACTTTTGAGTTTTGTGCCTTCACACAAATTCTGAAGGCATCATCATTTATAAAACTAGTAGGCAAATGTATAACATTTTTTAATAGTAAAAACTCATGATAAATATCTCCCATGCCAAAGTATTAGCATTTATTACACTCTGGCTACCATTAGTTTCAATATTAGAAAGCAGAATCTAAATCCTCCAGGCAAAAGTTATGTAAACAGTACAAGTTTGCTTTGAAATCTGAAGTCATTCAATGAGAGGCTCTTAATTTAATAAATAAAATCGAGTTAGTAGCAATATATACCAACGACTGCCCAAAGTGAAATCTTCATGTAGAGTAACGTTTTACAAAAACTACCATATGATATATTCACCACAACAAAATCAGGCTTAGCACTGTAATTCATATTTTCCAGAATAGAATCTACTTTTTCAAAAGTAAAACTGCATTCACAGGAGGACTAAAGTGCTAAAAGTTTTTAGTTTTACAGGACCACTAAAAATACCTAGTATAATTAGTATAGTAATTCCTAAATTGTCTTTTAAAATAATTTTTCTTTAAAAACCAAAAATGCCTTTTCCCCCCAGTTTGAAAACTCTTATTTTTAACTGATTAAATGGGGAATGTTCCTTTGGTTATTAAATACAACAAAAGCACAAAAGCACAAGAAACCAAAAGAAATAGTTTTCTATTTATCACTATACCTTAAAGGTTCAAACCTTCACTAAAAGCTAGAACGTAGCTAACAAATGACCCAACAAATGCGTCATCTCTCAAAAACAGCAGCTAAGTCATGTGAGAAAGTCTTCTGTAAACATCAAGAACTTTTAAAAGGCTAAAACACAACAGCAAAACCCAGGCCTACCACGTTATCCATGCTTGCTTCACACATAAATGGCCCTCTGGTTTTTCAATTCCCTCAGCCTTCAGAACACCAACTACGGATCACATGTGCCTAAGTGCTACTGCATTTTTTTTCCCATTAAAAAAGAACTGGAGACTAAGAGTATAGCTCCGCTGCAGAGTGTGAACTTAGCATGTACTAGGCCCTGGGTTCAATCCCCAGCACAAACACACACACAGACACACACAGAGGATCAATAAGTCATTTCAGTCCGCCCTCCACCTCTAAGAAAGGTAAGAGGAAAGCAACCTTCACAATGCAGCAGTCTAAGAGAAGCTAATTAACTGGCCACGAATGGTGCACACCTGTAATCTGAGCACTCTGGTGGCTTAGGTGGAACAGCCACAAGCAGGAAGCCAGCCTGGTATACATCATGAACTCAACCTAGGCCAACCTAGACTACATAATGTGGTCCTGGCTCAAAAATGCAAAAACAAGTAAAAAGTTTTAAAAGTCATCTGCTCTGTGCCCATATTAATTTATGTTCATAAATCAAGAAGTCTACATGCAAATAAAACTAAAAACCTTCTGATAACTCAACTCTAGTACAAATCAACAGTGATGTATAAAAACAGCACAATGCTTATCTAGCTTCATCAAGACTAAAATTTGGGGAGCTGGGGATTTAGCTCAGTGGCATAAGCGCCTGCCTTGCAAGCAGGCAGTCGTGAGTTCGATCCCTGGTATCGATAAAAACGAAAAAGACAAAAAAAAAAAAACAAAAAAAACACTAAAATTTGTAATTGGCACTTGAAAGATTTCATGAAAGTTACAGAGCATAAGGAATAACCCTGGGCATAAAATAAATTACAAACAATAGTGACATCACTAAATGGGCCTTAACTCAAGCTCATCACCTATGTATCTAACAACCTCTTACATCTCACAATCTTGGTGACATGTCTAACAACTAAAGTGACCAGCATCTGAGTGGGAATGGACTGGAGTCCAGGCTTCCTTGAGAGAGACAGAAAGGAAGAGAGGCCCAATGCGAAACTGCTGTCACTACTGTTTAACCTCTCATTTTAAAAAAATCATACAGCGCAAAGTTAAAACACAGTAAAAGACTGTGTAGGTTGATAAATTCCAATTCCTGGTACCTGATTAGAAAGCCCTTATGTAGACTCCAAAATTGCAAGAACACTGAGAGTAATAAATATCTCCTGGCAAAAAATGCCCGGGAAAAGCCACAGACAAATTAAAGCATATTAACAAAATATTCCTAGGACAATCACTCCAAATTAAGCTAATATTCTCTTCCACCACAGACAGCAAAGACTATTTCATCAACTTTTGCATCCCTCAAACCTAGCACATAGTAGGCACTCATTGAATGAACATGTAACTTCACAGGTCCATAGCCTAAAATGAATGAGTGAAAACCTATGAAATTCTCAAGATAAGAAAAATCTACATTAAGTCAAAAACAAAAACAAAACAAAACAAAACCTTGACAAGTGATTTTGCTTCAAGTTTAATTATTCACTACAGAATATTTTCACTTACAGCATGACATTCAGTTAAATGACTTCTCTTAAGGTTTATTTATGATAGTGGAAGTCAATTACTCATAACAAGCCATACTTTAGGATTAATACTTGCTTTAAAAAGTAAACTCATAGGATGGTTAGTTTGATTAGCTGGTTAAATAATCATGAGAATTGGTGGTCTGGATTATGGGACTGGTTCTTCAAAGCAATCAACTCCATAAAGACTTCTTCCCCTTTACCGCTTGAGAACACAATCCTATGCTCCAGCCAGCTAGAGATATCAGACAGTGCTTACAGGCACCACAATTCACATGGGTCCAGCCATGGAAGGTGGAAGGTTTGGCATAAATTCTCATGAGCCCTCACTGATGGCAAGTCAGTTCTTCACCTCCAAACGTGAAGAACAACTCATTAAACTGCCAACCGGGACCAAAGGATGATTCTCCAATGCAGGGCAGCATGAATGTAACCCAAATACACTGGGTTTTGAAATTTTTTACTCTTTTTGTATTATAATTTGCTAGTAAACTATGTGGAATTCTCAGAAAGACACACACTATAGAATGAGCTTGACTCAGTTTATAAATGATTCATGGAAAAAAATCAATATCCACAAAGATTGTATTTTCCTATGTTAACTCTAAGCCTGACAAGAGACTGCAGGAGCAAAAAGACACGTAACAACCTCCAAAAGACCAAATGGAACATTTAAAACTACTCCAGAGAAATGTTTTTCTGAGTAGAAGTAGAATTAAACCAAGGAACAAAAGGACCTGCCTTCCAGGATCTCACTAATTATTTTCATCTGCTGAACTTCCCATCTCTATTTAATGTGCAATACACACCTCCAACATCTTCCTCCTGCTCTTGCTACTTTGAAAGGTACAAATGCTCTAGCCATTGGCTTACAAGGCTCATATTCTGTTTTCAAAGTACGTTCAAACAAACCTACTGATTCTCAATACATCCTCAGTCAGTGAAAACATACTTGTCCTGAAGGTGATTACTCTGCAATCATGTCTGAGGAAAAGGAGAATGCACCATCTATCAGTATTAAATGAATGGATTGACGACCTCTGACCTTGAAATAAATGGCACAATCACAACTTCAAATCTAATGTTATTTTTAAATGTAATTCAGTAGTGAAACACCATGTTCTAAGGGTACTACCGCAATACAGCAAGTAACATTAAGTAAATTCACAATATTCAATATCTGATGTATAATTATTGCTAGACTACCCTGCGTTTGTCAGGTATGTTAGTAATCATGTCTGTCACAATTTTTAGATTGTATTGGATTGTATTCATAGAAATTTCTTCAGCGCTCACACGAAAGGAAGACTTATGGAAACCTCATAAACGCTCCGCATACAAACAATAAGCTATAACTTGAATGCATTCAGACCTGTAGCAGGCTGTTGCTGCTGTGTAAGTGTTGCAGCCATGGCAATGGCTGCTGCGTTTGGCATGGTGCTGAAGGGCGTGGGTCCAGTGGTAACTCTGGGTGGATTCTGCCACTTCTTAGCTTCTGCTCGCCTGGCCTCGAACACATCTACGGCATCTCCCAAGAACATCTTCCTGTAGCCAAGGTACTGCTCTTTGAGCACCTGAAGAAACAGGGAGAAAAAGTTAATCAAGTTCCATTTTGACTACAATAGTATGTAAGTGCTTATTATGATGAAGTAAATTACCTGTGATCAGACCCTGCCAATGTTACACATTTCACCTAACCTAAGAACTCAGGATATTGGTAATGTTTGTCGATGTGGGAACTGGTGAGTTGAAGAGCTCGCTCACTCCTTTGAATATTTAATTTTCTACTCTTATTATAGAGCTTTACAACATGCTGCCTAAAATAGTTGGGCTTTGTGACACTGTTTAGATAGCTTCAACTCAGAGTGGGGACAAGCTGAGTAATATTTAAGTAAGGACTACAGTTTTTCATGGAAAGTTTCCCTCAAATACCCAACCTTCTCATGAACTGTAAAAACCAGCACCACAGTACACTTAAGTACATTTCTGAAGGAAGTTCAAACACATACATGCTAAGGTAAGATGTCATGTCTCACACAAAAAGAGGTTCACGGGTAAAAGGAGGGCTTCTACTTCACTGTCACATGATGAGATGGTGAACCTGTTAACCCAGCCCCTTACTGATCCCAAAAATCTGAGTTTATAACTCCTGGGTAAGAAAAATTACCAAGTTACTTGGTGCAAATACACTTTGACAAGGGCCTTTAAAAGGAATGATTTTATTTCACATCAGTTCTTAAGTATTTCACTGATTATTTAGGCTAATATTAAATGTTTATTGATATTAGCCTAATTTAGATAAATTTTATATCACTTTTTGAAGAGAAGCAGAATTCTCGTATTCGTTTTCTTGGCAGAAATAATTTTTAGTAATTTGCTCAAACAGCAGAGACTTAGGAATTGTACTGTTAGAATTTCAAGCTATTCATTTATCCTTTTGTGTGGCTATCCATATTTAATCTCGTTTCAAACATTGTTGCCTTTATAATGAACTAATATGAACCTATTAACTGAAAACTGAGGAAAATGTAGTCAGAAATAGTGTGATGGTGGCAATTTTGGATTTACTATCGGCTTGTTTTGAAATCCTTTATAGCATTCACTGTTTTGTTTTTATTGTTCCTATTCTGTTCTGATTTTTACTATGTCCAAAGTTATCTGCAGCCATTTTGAAGATATCAAAAGGCATAATGGTAAGTATTGTTGATTTTGTAATGTTTTGAAGTCCTTTCTTACACTGATTTTGACTGTTTTGATTGGTTTTATCTTCTTTAAAGTAAGAAAGAAAAGAAATAGGGAGTGTGATGTAAGAAAAAACCAACCTTATTACTGACCTCGCCAAACTCGTAATTTCTTTTCCTATGCGTATTCTCAAACAAAGTATGCTATCAGTGTCTCAAAAATTGTAACTGTACCTAAGGTAATGAAATAAAGACCTGCCTTAGAATCTTGCTACAGTCAGTATTAATTCCTAACACTTTCAAACTTCACAGCCACTGAAGCTTGGCTGGATAAAGTGTTCCAATATATTTCAACAGATTGATGGAAAACAAGAGGAAGAAAAAAACACCTCCAAAAAACAAAAGCAAAGCCAGGAGTGGTGGCTGACACATCTGTAATCCCAGCACTTGGGAGGCTAAAAAAGGATGATTGTCATGAGGTTGAGGCCAGCCTGAACTACATAGCAAGACTCTGTCTCAAAAGAAAAACAAAACAAAACAAAAAACACCTTTTCTGAGATTTCTATAAGGAATCAAAGTAGAATTTATAGTTGACTTGCTTATTAAGCTGAAAATAAATGCTAACATATCAAATCTAATTATGGAACATGCATCGGTTCTTGGGAGTGTGTTAAAAAAACAGGTTAAACAGTTAAGTTTATTTGCGTAAATCTGGTCTGCCTAATGGTCATGTTACATGTACAAACTATAGGAAAATCCACAAATTTACACTAGTAAATGCTTTAAAGTACTTCAGAAAAGAAAGAATCTATGAGCAGAGAACTGATAAATTCAACAGGATCTTGATAGTGGCTGAAATTAGCCATCATCAAAATAAGTACAAGGGCACTCATTATAACAGTGTTACAGTTTTATGTTTATTTGGAAACTGTCAAGATAAAAAATTAGCACAACTCTGACTTCCAAGTGCTAACAGAATCATCATTAGATATCCAGACAGATGGGCCAGCAATGAAAACTTACCTTGACATTTTCATGAATAGACTGAAGTTGTGCAGCTAAAGCTACAAATGTTTGATATATTTTCTGCATAGCCATTGACAAATCTATAAAAGAAAATTATATTATCACAGAAAATACATTACAATCAATTTTATTTTTCTATCATTCAAGACCAATTTTGGTTTGGTTAAGGTGTCAGAGGGAAAATATAACAAACAACCTCTAGCAATGCTCTCGTGGCCAGTAAGAGAAGATGGGCAGACTGAAAAGCCCAAAAGAAGATCTGCGCAGGGGCAAGGCCTAGCATTTCTGCCCTTGCTACCACAGTGAATCTGTCTCAAAAAAACAAAAGGGGGGTAAAGATCTAATCAAAGACCTTTAAGGAAATTTTCTTAAAGCAATTTAAGACAACTTACTATATGCAATTGTAGACCTACTATATAATCATAGCTTAACCTGTCTTACCAATAATAATAATATTGAAAAAGTAATGATAGTAAGCTTGTTACCTTGAGGAGTTATATGTGAATTATTTGCTTGAGTGGCAAGATGGTTTTCTAGTTCTTCAATCTGCTGTCTGTATTGCTGAAGCTGTACCTCAAACTGCTGAACCAAGATTCTGAAATAGCTATGAAAACATCAGAAAAGACCAAATCTTTAAGAATGTTCAAAATAGCAAACAAATAAATGTCTCTCGAGTAAAGCCTTTACATTAGTTTGAGTATGGCTCAGATACTACCACTGAAACAAAACTCAAAACATTGTAAATCACTAAGGTATCCTTATTCAATCATACAAGACAAATCCAAAGTAAGACAAGTTCACAAAACACAAAATTAAGTAAGAAGATCATCCACAACAAGGAAACACTGAAAAACTATTAAGGATAGGAAGAGACTAAAGAGAGATCCACAAATAAGTGCAATTCAGTAAGATTCTGGAACAACAAAATAACGTACGTATTGGTGGAAAAATCAGCAAACTTCCAGTAAATTTGAGGGTCTGGAAACACTGTACCAGAACTAGTTTTTTGTTGTTGATAATTATATGATAGATTTATGATTATCAGGAAATTCTTCGTATTATTTTTTAAAGTTTTCTGTAAGTTTAAAGAAAGTTTGAAATAAAAAGTTAAAAAACTGTCAACTAGTTTTGTGTGTGTGTGTGTGTGTGTGTTTGTGTGTGAATCTTTTGAGACAGAGTCACGCTATGCAGGTAGTTCAGACTGGCCTTAGACTCACTTTGTAGCCCAGGCCAGTCTTGAACTTGCAGCAACTCTCTTGTCTCAGCCTCCTGAGTGCTGGCATTAGAGATGTGTGCCACCATGCCCAGCATGTCAATCTGATTTTAAAACCAAGTACCTATAGTTCTCACAGTAACAAAACTAATCTATAAACACTTTCCTATAAGGGTAACTGTGAAATCTTTTGCAAAATTAGCCCTGCTGACAGCATGAACAAGACAGAAGGATAAATTACTAGACAAAATCCGTTAAAGAAACACATCTCACACTAACTGAAGAAAACAATAGGATTATCACTGTTATCGATTTCTTGATTTTAGTGATTATACTATTATGTAAGTCTACCCTTATTTTTAAAAAACTACATATTAATGTAAGTAGGCATAATGTGCACTCTGTCTGCAAATAACTGAAACTGTTCAGGTGAAAAAACATGGTTATGTACATATAAGAGAGAAATGAGGAGCAAACAAATACGGCAAAAATACTAGTATGCAATAGATGAAAGATATATGGCAAGGCTCTTTTTTATTCTTTAAACCTTTTAAGTCTGAAATAACATTAAAAAAAAAGTTAAAAGGAAAAAAAGTGAGGAGTAGGAGGCAAATGAACCTTTACCCTTTCACAACTCACCTCCTGGATGCTCCTGGGTCCCCAGCACTAACACTGGAAGAACAACAGCTTATGGGAAGTTGTAAAACTACACAGTGCTGAGCACACTGCTCAGAGAACAGTAAGCACTTGCTAGGTGTCACTATTACCATCTTTATCAACATGCAAGGATAAAAACAGAAACAGCCGGGTGTGGCAGCTTTCCAATCCCAGCACTAAAGCAGAAGGGTCATCACCATGAGACCAAGGCCAGCCTGAACCACAGAGTGAGATGAACAAAATTTGTATCATCTACATAGAAAGTAGATGGATATACACGCTGAGTGACACAACAGTGAACAGGTTTTCACTTTTACTTATCTATATTTTCGAATTTTTCTTCCTATAACCCTAGCACTTGAGGCCCAATTTCAAACAAACAAACAAACAGCTATGGAAGTAAGTGGAAGGGTTAAACTGTATTTAGTATGCCTAAAGGATAGAACACGAAATTACTAATTTGAAAGTTTTAAAGGGTAAAAATTACACTTCTGTTGTATGAAAAATGTATTTAGGAATAAATGCTCTAAATAACAGTTAAGCAGTATAACTGTTAACAGTATTGCAAAGTTCATCTTTTGGTTTTCATGACTCTTCAATAAAATGGGGATACCAAACTATCCAACTTGGGGTTATTAAAAGTAAACTTAAAAATTCATATAAAATGCTAATTAACCCAGCTTTTCCACCGAGTAATTAAAATTTCTTAACATGTATTATTCTCATTCTGCTTTCTTTTTAAGTTCTGGGATAGAACTTTTTTTGTCTTTTGAGACAGGTTCGCACTATGCAGTTTAGCCTGGCCTTGAACTCACTATGTAGCTCAGGCTTGCCTCAAACCCCAGCAATGCTCCTGTTTCAAACGCCCCCGCACCTCCTCCCCTGCTAGGATTACAGGTGTGCACCACCACCCCCGACCTGGATAGAATTTGGGGCTGCACTCAGAGGGCAACTATTCTCCCTCTTTGCTACATTTCTAGCTCCTGTTTTGCTATCTTAAAGTGGGAAATACTTGTTTCTAAAAATCTAGTAACTTACTCAGCAGGAGCTGCATTCTCATGCTGGAGTCCAGGAGGTGTTTTCTGGGTTCTTAAGGCTATTTCAGCATTCTTTAACTCCTAATGTACCAGAAGTTTGAAAAAAACAACAAAAAACAGGTGTAAGAGTATACCAAAAATACCAGCCATCTCTGGACAGATATTTCGAGCAGCAGCAGAATTTTATGCTTTGGTAACAGTATAGATAAAGCTGCATTTTTACAAGTCTCTAAAATTTCTTTCTTTTCTTTTCTTTTTTTTTTGGTACCAGGGACTGAACTCATAACCTCATGCCTGCCAAGCAAGTGTTTATACCACTGAGCTAAATCCCGGGCCCCCTAAAACTTCTTTCAAGATAAACTAAACTTTTAACAAGCTCTATGATAAAATTATACTGAATGGTTGATATACTTTAAGAAACAATAGGTTTCTTTAAAATTTACAAAATTAATTCATCCACAGTGAAAAGAGTACGCTGTTTAAAAATCTTTAATACACAAATCCAGAAAAGACTTTTAAAGGCAGGCAGATATAACACCATGGAAACGGGCACTGGTAACATCATCCAGTGCTCACTATCTACCAAGCACTCTGCCTAGGGCTTTGACTGTATTACTGTGATTATCCCTTGCTAGTAACTCCCACATTTTACATTTCGAGGAATGGGTTGTGAGACATCACACTGCCCAGTGCTTCTGGAGCATATGCACGGAGCCATTCCTCTGCTGCCTTCCAGATTTCTCAAAGCTATGTCTATCTCCTCCTCAATGGATTTTCATGACTAGTACTCCAGTCCACAGATCCACGTTCCACATTGCTATTTTTTCACTGCCTTTTCAACCACTAAGTACCCCTTATTTTCAGAGAACAGTGCTTTAACTTCTACGCCCTACAGCCTCTTTCCCTCACTAACACGTTCCTGCCTGCTTGAATCATGGGTGGCACATGCATGAGTGTCCCGCGGGACAGGAAGTACCATTGGCAGTATGAATGGATCTGATCACTGTTATTGGTCTTGTTACTACAAAATCAATAAAAAAGCATGCATGTTCAATTGGTGGTTCAAGATGCCCAGCAGCAAAACATGAATTATGGCTCATGAATGCGTTAACTGCCAAACTATTACTTTAAGTCTGTAACCATCATTTGCCATGAGTTTGAGGCCACCCTAGGCTGCATGGTGAGTTCAAAACCAATCTGAACTAACTGGTGAGATCCTGTCTCAAAAAAAAAAAAAAAAAAAAAAAATCAATCACATCAATCTTTTGTTATTTCACTTGACCCCCTATTGACTTTTATCTATAAAAGACAACAAGTTGCTGCCTACTACAGGCTCCACACATTATTTGTGAATGGAATAATCTAATTTTAGTTCCAATGGGTTCCCTTACAGTGACCATTTCTCTCTCAAGTTTAACACCATTATTTTGCTAACTACCACTTATTTATATCTTATTTTACAAATGAAATGTATAAATTCATACAATGTTTAATTGAAGCTATTCTCCCATGTAAGAGATAACTACATTTTCCTTCTCCTAGAAAGTACCTGATAAAAATGAAAAGTAAGTGGGAAGGAAACAACAGAGATATTCATACGTAACTAGAGAAATTGTAAGAGATTAGAGTATGCTCTAGCAGTTGACTTACAGACACACACAAGTGCCTTAAAATTTTTAGTTAAATACTATCACTTCACTTATGAAGATGAGCACAGCACTCTGTTAGGTCTACAGTATAGTGTTATTACACCACACTTATTAACAGACCGAGAATTACTCTAGGGAAAGGTACCTGCACTGTGTAATGAGATCAAGTGTATTTGCTAATTACAACACATAAAATGCAAGCCAACCAGCTACCATCATTCTACTCTTCAGTGCAGGAAAGAGCTACACATTGATTCAGTATGTATACTGTACATTATGCCAAAGGAGGGGAAACACGTAGGTCCAAGTGACAGAAGATACAAGGCTAAGTACTGTTTTTATTAACTAAAACCGTACCCAAAACCTTCAAGCCATTAAATTTAATACCCATAAAGCATCTAATTTCTGTTTACTAACAGGTTACAAAATATTTTCTGGTTAGGTATCTTTCCTCTTGTATAAAAGATCAACTTAGCTAACAAATCATTTTTATGAAAGAAAAGTAGTTAAGGGCATTGGATTACCAGGGCCTAAATTCAGAATTTTCAACTTATTAATCCTCTCCCTATCTTCTTGTTTAAGTAATGAGGGTAACAGTACTTATCTCAAAGGGCTGTCATGAAAACTAAACTAGGCAATAGCTAGAAATTGCTCCAAATACTGTCTTTTAAATAAATAATACACATTCATTAAAACCTATTATGGAGGGGCTGGGGATTTAGCTCAGCGGCATAAGCACCTGCCTTGCAAGCAGGCAGTCGTGAGTTCGATTCCTGGTACCGATAAAAATGAAAAAGACAAAAAAAAAAAACAAAAACAAAAACAAAAAACCTATTATGGCAATTTAAAAATATATGAAGTATCTTGTTATAGTATACTGGTATCAAACTTTATAATTAAATAATTCTATTTCTGACTTAGAAAAAACCCCTCTTACGGTAGAATGGCTATAAGTCAGTATACCTGAGCAGTTTCTATTTTCAGTTTGTCAATATTGAGAGTGTTTCGTTGTAATCCACTGGCAGCCAATGACAGGAGCTGTTTCAGAGCTTTAATATCTTCTTGTACTTTAAGCATTGCTTTTGAAGACATTCTGCTAATTTCTTCTTGAACCTGTTTTTGCTCCTTCACAAATTTCCTATAAAAAAACAAAACTGACTTTAAAAAAAAAAAACACTTTGAGGGGCTGAGGATTTAGCTCAGTGGCATAAGCACCTGCCTTGCAAGCAGGTAGTAGTGGGTTTGATCCCCAGTACTGATTAAAAAAAAAAAGAAAAAGACAAAACAAAAAAACACTTTGTCTTTTACAGAAAAAAAGCACATGTAAAATACTTTAGCCAGAGTCTGTGTTTTAAGAACCAATGTAAAGCATCGTTAATTCACATTTTTAACAGAATGACAGTTATAGAATTTTAATTGCTATTTCCTTGCTGTCTGATCTTTTAAAAGCATTAAGATTTTAACAGACAAAATATTTAGAAGGAAGAGATGTTCCTCCTATAATGTATGCTAGAATTCTTCAAGTACTATTTATCTAATTATGTTTGACACTTACTGGAGGTTTTCAACATCCTGGCAAATGACAGGAGGTAGATTTTCATCTTTCAGTGCTTTACTATCCCTAAGAAAAAAGCCACAAATGTATTAATACCACTGGGATATATAAAAGTTGACAACTCAATTTTATTAGAGTACGTGTTAAGATATTAGAAAATAAAACAAATATTCCTAATTTATGCTTCACTGATTTCAAATTTCTTTATAATAAAAAATAAATTTCTCAATCTATAAAACAATTTTAGCACTTGACATTAAAATTTCTTACGTAAAAGTGGCATTTACTATACTTACAAGCATTTAACTAAATGTCTCACAAAAAAGTCAAAATAGTATAGATGAGATGTTCAACTAAATTTTCCCTCACGTTCAAAGAGCCTGACATTTTCTTTGGTTCAAAAATACCAAAAGTGTTTACAGACATTCCTCATGTAAGGACCACGCCAACTCCCTGTGAGTAGGTCATTAATCAGCTGATCAATGAGGAATTTTACACATAGTGTGTACATTACAATATTCAGAACAAAGAATGGTCAAGAAGAAATTCCCATTCGATGACTGCTTTTATTTGCACAACTCCTATAGGCAGTGCTGTAATGTAGCACAGAACACAAAACTACAGCACAATCAGCAAGTCACAGCACTGCACTGCACTGCACTGAAGACGCAGTCACAGGGCTGCGCTGCTGTTTACGCGCCTGCGCCCTACGCCCACGGGGTGGAACCTAAGTTGAAATACTTGTTAAGGTTGTTCAACAAGGAATATCTGAGGTAAAAGCTATAAAATTTTTCGTGAAATGATTGAAACATTTTATTATTTTTTAACTTTAATCTGTTTTTTAACATATGTGAGAATGGGGAAATATCAACTGATGTCATTAAAGAGAATCACAAATAATGAGAACAGGGATAACTAAAATTTGGCTGCTGTAATGGAATTACGAGTTAAGAGTCAAAACTCTAGACAGATCTCAGTCTTTTTCAGCTTGTTCATTTCAACTTTTAAAATTCCAGAATCCAAAAACTCCACATTCTGAAAAACTTTTTGCGTCCCAAGCATTTTGTATAAGACATGTAATCTGAAACAAACTAAAATATACAAGATGTTTATGAGGACCCAACTTGATCATTTATTTTTACATATTATAACACAAATTAGATGAGAAAATACCATTGGTAATAAAAATATACAAATAATGATCATCTTCATTTGACAATTCATAATCTTTCTAAAATGTACTTACTTTATTCTTAATAAATAGTTTTTTTTTAACTAAATGTGTACTTGGTTATATTTACTTTTCTTGCTTTATTTTAAGCAGGGCTCACTCTGTAGTTCAGGTGGCCTTGAACTCTAAGTCATGGCGATCCTCTTGCCTCACCTCCTGAGTACTAAGATTATAAGTGTGCTTTCACCATGCCCGGCATTTCTATTTACTTCACCTATAACATCTGCCCACAATTTAATACATAAAACTCTTAACTAAATATATTACATTATATACTTACTCTGGTCTTGTTCCTGTTTTATCACCTAGAAAATTCAACAAACTTCATGAATAAATAATTTAACAATGTATTCTAAGTATATTTTAAATTAACAGAGATATAAATATAAAGGAAAGCAGTTCTTAGCTCACCTCTTTAACACTGTACCATGTCCCGACCGTCATGAACTTAGAACACAGCAAAACCACAGAGACATGTGACCATGTAAGCAGACACGTTATACCGCTGATTTCCATCTACTACCTTCAAGAACATGGTTTTTCCACAACTATCCTCCATAGATAAGATTCTTCACAGGGTTTATAATCTCAACTACCAGTTCAACACTGACAGTTTATACCTAAGGCCCTATCAGGATCAAATATGGTAATGTCAAATTGCCTGAACTTCTCCAGTCTGGCAGTCCCTAAAAACAAATATCCCAGTTTACCTTTCCATCTGCCACGAGCAAGAATCACACCCTCAACAATGCACATCAGTTTTAAATATGTTTTTGGGCCCAGGATTTAGCTCAGTGGTGTAAGCACCTGCCTGGCAAGTATGAGGTCACAAGTTCAATCCCCACTACCAAAAAAATTAATAAATAAAATACGTTTTTGTCAGTCATGAAAGTGAAAAAGGTCACGTCACTGTAATTTTAAATTTTTATTACACATTAAGATTTTCTTCAAACATTCATCCAGATAAGTATATTTCTTTTGTGAACAGCCTATTTGGTATGATTTGTAGTTTTCTTGAGATACTTTTCTCACTAATTTCTAGAAGCTATGAACTTTAAATGACACAGTTCTTATCTCATATAGATCTGCTTTTATATTAGACCTATGTAAAATGTATCTTGATTTAAAAAATGGTAAAATGCCAAGAAATGAAGAAGCATCCAGAAGTGAAGTATTTACTCCGGATGGGTGCACTGCTGGGGACTGAACTCAGAGCCTGTGCGTGCCAGGCAAGTGCTGCACCGCTAAGCTGGAGCTCCAGTGCTTTACATCCGACCTTGGGGACAGAGCTCAGGCAGTTCACTGCGCCCCTCCCGACCCTCTGAGTACTTGGGATTGCTGCTGTTCCACCATGCCTGGGAAGCATCTGGATTTTAACATATCATTGGCCTTTCATCACTGGATAAGGAGTTTCAGTTTTTTACCTCTTCTAGCAGGCTGTGATACTTTTTCCGAAAACCATGAAATATTTCATTGATTCTAAAATTTATCTCCCATAGCTAAATTTTTTTTCAATTTCAACCTTCAGATGATGTGATAGATTTGATAAGACATGGTAATAAAAATAAGAATTTAATTTTATCAAATCATTAATTTTAAACTAATGCACTATCTCCCTGATAATTCATTTCTACACTGTGAATTTTTGCATAAACATGTACAACCTATTTCTAGATCACCATAAACCACTGGATTGATCTACCGGGCTTTTCCTCAGGAATGCACATGGGCTTCTACTAAAGCTTCCTAATGGCTTTCCCTTCCTACTCTTGCCTTTCTGTAATTAATGTACTTTCTAGATGGCTGTTACAATGCTCGTAATCTTAAAATACGAACCTCACCAAAACCCTTTAATAGATGCCAGTTTTCTTCAGGACAAAGACAAAACTCCACATGTCATATAAAGCCCTTCATGACCCTTGGAACCTAATCTTTCTGTGTTAGCTAGACTGACCTATTAGTTCTTCAAAAGTGTCCAGCTTTTCTCACCCTGAGGCCTTGCTCTATGCTATACCCTCTCTACAAATACTATTTTCTATCGCTGTCTAAATCCTACTGTACCACAAGTCCAAAGTTAACTGATACAGCTAGCAGGAAAGAGACCCCTTGAAATTAATAAAAAGACTCCTTTGTCAGATCTAAGAGACCTAATGAGAAATGGGATGAGATATATGTATACTTTATTCTGTTTGCTCAACTCCAGCTTATGCATACCATGAAAGCAGGATGATGGGAGAAGGGTCAAAAGAGAAGGAAAATTAGCTCCTTGTATTTCTTTAACTCCTCTCCAAAGTAAAACAGATGAAACAAGCACTTAACTAAATTACTAACACTGACAAATGTTTCTGATATGTATAGGGGTAGGAATGGATTACAAAATATACATATCATCACCCCAATTTTAACATACGTATCAATATACACATCAAGGTAGCTATGTAAGACTTACACAGCTCTAAGTTATCTAAAAAAATTAAATCCTGAACACAAACTATGAAACACTAATGGAAACCAACTTTGAAGTATAAGTGTCTTATTGAATATATATTTTCAGACATTGAAATTTTGGGTAAGCTGAAAGTTTTCTAAATAGTACTGTTAGAACACAGAATAACAACAATATACTTACTCTTTTTATCTGATGAGCTACTAAAATCTATACCACCAAGGCCTTCATTGCCTGCAGTTGAAGTGGTTATGGTAGTTCCCAAAGTCAAACCTAAAGCATTCTGTCCAAGTCCTGCAAATATACCAAACATCATTTACCAATCCCACTTACAGACTTACTACCAATTTCCCCCAACTGACTACAGCACTCAAACACCTTTCAGTTAGGTCTCAGAATTTCTTCATATTTAGGCAAGTAAGAGGCAAGTCTAGACAATGCTTTTGGCAAAGACTGGTGCTGAGATTCAATGGTAATGTGTATTCTGGATGATGAGATGTTTCATTATTAAAAGGGCCAGAATGTATTTGTTAATTTGATAAATGGGAATATTCAATGTTTACTATTTTTAAACCTCTTCTATAAAAGCAGTTTCCATTGATATACTTTCAGATGAATACATGTTATCTTTCAATCATATTTGGGAACTGCATATTTTAAAATAATACAGTGTGAATTTATAAGATTTAAGCATAATATACAATAAATACAACTGAATATTTCCAAGTTCTTTCCAGAAAACTTAGTTGAGAAATAGCCTTTATTTATTTCAGTCTCACCTCACAGGCAAAAGGAATCAAAGGAACTACAGTGACATAAGTCATTAACATATATTTGTGAGTCAAGAAGCAAATTTCAAACAGCTTGTGTAGACAAACCTGTTTCCCTAAACACACACATTCCTAAGCTGACACAACTTCATTGAGCTAACACCTTTAAAGCAGAATACTAGCTAATAACATGGAATAAATGAAAACTAGATTTAAATTCTGAAAATATATGACAGAAACACAGCTAAGTAAGTAACAACTACTATGCCAGTTTAGTCTCCTTCACTCAAAAAACCCACAACTTGAAATGCTCCAAAATCTGAAATCTTTTGAGCATTCTACATTGAGGCTCAATTGATAAAGTCTATGTCAATAGTTCAAAATTGGAAAATTTCAAAAAAACCTCTAAAATACTGCTGGCTCCAAGCATTTTGGGAAAGAAATACTCAATTTACAATACTCTTTAAAAATGTCAATGGTGGGGCTGGGGATTTAGCTCAGTGGCATAAGTGCCTGCCTTGCAAGCAGGCAGTCTTGAGTTCAATCCTCGGTACCGATAAAAAAGGAAAAAGACATTAAAAAAAAAAAGATTAAAAAAACCCCAATGGTTCCTTTAAATTAATGTAAGCACAAAATAAGCATTCAGTATTATGTTGTAGTCTAAGAAGCATCCAGGTACATCGAAAAACTCAAGAAAAAGACAAAATGATGTTCTGCCTCAGTTTTCTATTATTTTTCATTTTGCTTTTATAGGAACATTTATGAGACATTTAATATTAATCCTGCAAAGAAATGTACAGTGCAGTCATTTCATGACTTGATTAGAATGTATTTTGAATATCTACAAAATTAGACAATGAAAAAAATTAGCATTTATAGATTATTGCAACTTTGAATACCACATCTCCCTACAGGCTATCCAGGCTCATGCCTCTCTATCCCTTCCGCTAACCTAGGTGTTTTCCATCAAATTAATATCTGAATAAAAGAACAAAAAAAAGGAACTATAATCTCGCTAACAGAAAATATCAAGTCACATTATCTCTCCTTAACAACTAAATAAAGGATTAGATGTATATTACATGCACTACAAAAATTCTGAAAGTAAACAGCCAATGTAAATTTACCTACATATTGGAAATTCTGTAATTTCAACTTTTCCTGAACTGTTTTTTTTTTTTTTTTTTTGTCTTTTTCGTTTTTATCGGTACCAGGGATCGAACTCATGACTGCCTGCTTGCAAAGCAGGCGCTTATGCCGCTGAGCTAAATCCCCAGCCCCCTTTTCCTGAACTGTTAAACAGCACTTTATTTTTCACTGGTCAGTGAGATAATTACACAATTCTTCAAATAGCAGGAAAGCTTTTCTCACTCCCACAAAGTGCCCACTGCTTTCAAAATATGAATTTCTTACACTGGCACTAGCTATAGCAAGTATTCAAAACATGTACAGAATCCTTAAAACATGGCAAATACCATAATAAATATGAAATGCAAAACCAATCTGGAATTTAAAATATTTAGTACACTGTGCCCTGTGAACTAATACTTTCATATTTACCTAATTATATATAATAAAAGCATTTGACATCTGTATTTTAAAATGTAGTCTTCAAAAGCATGCTAGTGCCCTCTTCTGTCTTCAAGTAGCCTTACAATGAGGTCAGGCTATAAACAATGTAAGACACCCCCCTACCCAGTGCTGACAGTGACACACAGGGACTAATGAATATTAAGTGAGCATTCTGCCACCAAGCTACACTCCAACCCTGTCTGAGACATTTTTGTCTCTGGTACAGCTTTCTAACTCTTTAAGTAGGCTTATCCCCTAGTCAATCAATATTAAGAAAATGGAATGTACTTTTAAAATATGGCTAAGATATACAATTATCTATGAAAAATATTATTGAGTAATTGAGTTTTTATACTAAAAGGAAAATACACAGCTCAAAAAGTGATTAGCTCCAAAAGCCACAATACAGACAAAGTAAATTTAAATACAAATATTATCCAGAAAAAAAGTACTACGAGTTACCTGACGTTGCTTGGTTTGTACTCTGGAACAGTGAACCTCCCAAACCAGCAAGGGTTCCCCCTAAAGAAAGGCCTGTAGATGCAGTTGTAGTTGTAGATGTCGTTCCTCCCAAATTGTTCAGGGTAAATCCTGTAGATGCTATTAAAAAATGAGATCATAAATCATAAAAAGGAAACATGCCATAGAAAAATACAAGTGAAATTTTAAAAATTGATTTTTATGTCAAAACTGACTTTGAAAAAAGTACTTGCAAAGGTAAAATCATATATACTTAAAGACTACGGACAGGCAGTAACTTCAAAGCCAATGTGAATGATAGAGGGCTCTGTGTAGAATTAGACTAGTACCAGGAAACTGACTCCAGATAGCAATAGTTTTCAACTCAGGTACCAGTTCCATCTTCAAAATTAAATGAATTCTAAGCCAACTAGGAAGTACACAGTCTTAATATATAGAGATGGCATCAAATGAAGACAAACTATTAATAACTGTTAACAACTTCACACTTTATTTATCTAACCCTGTCCCCTGGCTTTGCTAAGAGAGATAAACTTCCAAGATGGGCTTTCCTGCTACAATGCCCAAAGCCAACCTTTCTTCCTTCAAATCAATAAACAGGCAAGTCAAAATGGTGAATTAAAATAAATGCTTCCCGAAGTGCAGCTATGTTTAATACAGAGGTACACCTAAGTTCTCCAGTGCAATGTAAATTTAACCATGAGATGCAACCTTCTTGGATGCTGCCTTACCTGCGGGAGTCGATGTCAGAGCAGATGAAAGAGTAAGACCACTAGCTGAGGTAGAAGTAATGGGCAGAGCAAACGGGGTAGCAGATGCTGTTGGCTTATTGAATCCTAAACTGAAGCCTGTTGTGGATGCAGATGTAGTAGCTGGCGTTCCTGTTTTAAAAAATAAAATCTCATTTTACCTAAGGTCTGTACATGAGAGGTGTGTGTGTGTGTGTGTGTGTGTATCCACACACATATAAGGTTTCCATCAGAATCCCTAAAAGTTTGTAACTTTACTTTCTGTCAAGAGAAGAAATGTATACACATGAGAGAGAAAAAATACAAAACTTAGGACTAAATTTTGGCAAATAAAGAAAAAAATGGTTCGTTGGGTTAAGAAAAGCAAAAGCAACCCCAATCCAGTAACATTCTGATCCATTTCAATCTACACCTGGATTTACCTAATGGCGTATTTCCTTCACTTCTTCCCTCCCTTTACTCTCTGCAGAACAACTGTCCCTCTTCTCCAAAACTATGTAAATAACCATTCTCCACTTCTGGAGATCCTCTTCTGGCCGGACCTGCTATCTGCCAGCTCTCAGCTCTCTTCGTACTCTTAGTATTTGTTTCCAGTTCTGCTTTGTAGATCTTCTCCTTTCTTCATTTTATCTAAGTGAAGCTCTGCTGGTTTCACTCCTGTTCCCTTACTTCTCCAATGACCTCACCCACTTTCATCTTCCCAACCACAAGTCTACCTGAATCTCTGTGGGCTGATTCTACTTTGAGATTCCTCGAGATCCTACCTATCTCACCAAAAACCAACACAAACACAACAATAAAGAAAAAAGCCCAACTTTGCTAACCATCCCCCCAATCTTGGTCCATTCAACTGCTCAAAAAAGAAACTAGAACTTTCCTACCTATTCCTCTGCATTTCATCAGTTACAAATTCTGTCACTTCTACTTCAGAAACAGATTACAAAACTTCGCAAAAATCTTCATTTGGGTCTTCTCTCTTTCTCAAGAACTGCAACAACAGCCTCTTAGGTTCTCTGCCAGGTTCTTCCAAACGTAATTCTCCCTTCTTATCTAGTGCCAACCTACTTTTCAGATCTCATATCTTGCAGTCATTTCCATCTCTGAATCTTAAGTTCCAACAATAAATATTTTACAATTCCCCTGGGTATTTTTGTGATTAGGCTTTTTACTTTCTATACCTCCGTCTGGAATGGATCCTGCCCCTCCAAATAAACTTGCTCTTTCCTTTGCCTTCAGTATCTTTCTATTATCTATGAATGCCATTTATCAGATTACTCTAGAATATGTTAATATTCCTGCCTGTCTTCTTCACCTGTAACAATGTGTGTCTCACTTATGCACTTAACAGGTCCTCACATCCTCATCAGCAACAATACCACTGCAAACGCAAGCCGAAACTGAATGTTCAAGGCACTAGAAAGGCTCACAACCACACAGGTAGGGAGCAGTAACTTCGTAAACAGTACTAGGTGAAAAATGTGTGAATGAGAGCCACGAGCAGGCCTGCAGTCGCAGCACTCAGGAGGCCAAAGAAGGAGACTGCCAGGAAGCCAAGGTCAGGCTGAGCCACACGATAAGTGTAAGGTCAGTCTCCAGTGAGACACTGTCCAAAAAAAAAAGCAAGAAAAGAGACAAAAAGAAAAGGTGTGAATAACCTGCATTGGAGTTTCTTCTGAAATCACTGAGAGAAGTCAAGAGATAGGTTCTGAACTGTCCTGATCAGAACTACAAGTTCCTACTAGAGCATAATCTTTCAAAAGCATGCAGTGATAGGCTCAATACTTTGGAAAACAAGACTCAGTTGTAACTAATCCTGTCTAAAACTTTGGTGGTAGTATCAGGTGTATTGCTTGTTTGCTGATTTAATTTAATTTCAAGGTTTTCAACATCCTTCTATTCTTTCTTTAAAATCTAGTTATTCACATTCCTTTCAGCAAACCACTACAGAAACTTACATTTTTGAGTTGCAAGGGAATCCAAAAACAGTCCAAATATTATCCACAATGTCTGCAGTACTGGGAATTAAAACCATGATGTCGCACACACATTAGGCAGGTGCACCTCTCCTCAGGATACAAAAATGTTCTTTGTTTTCTGGTGGTACTGAGGATTGAACCTACTGCCATTACACATTTTATTTTGAGACAGGGTCTCACTAGTTGCTAACAGGCCTGAGCTGGGCTCCAACTTTCAATCCTCCTACCTCAGCCTCCAGAGTGCTAGGATTAGACACTGCTACTATACTCTGCTACAACAGTTTCATTTTACAAGTAACTAAATGTTTTGTTCCTAGGTATCACAAGACTTCACAACTACTCTGAGATAGAACCAGGATGCTTAATTCCAGGACTTCTGGAGTATAGTTTGGTACCCTTTCAACTAAAAGGTCAAATGACTGAAAAAGTAATATGAAATAAACTTTCAGGTCAAAAGCCATTTTTGTACTTAAAACATTTCTCTCAATCGATAGTGTATGATATAAAGGCATTATTTAAGTACTCAATACTGACAATTTCTTTGAAAAGTCAATATCTGAATCTATACCGAATTCTTTATATACTTTCTTCTACACATCAGTTCAGTGAAATATTAGAAAACAGTAGAATGATCACTCAGTTCATTTACACTGGGATGTTTCTTCGTTTCTTACCCAGAGTTAATCCTGTAGTTATAGTTGTTGCTATCCCTGGGAACAAAAAGAGAAATAAAATTTAAGCATCAATGAATATAGCATTATTTTGATTTACCATAAGGGAATCACCCTCAGAGTAACTCTCCTACTAAGATCAATATGTGACTTCTGCTACTATAACCCCTATACCAACATCTTTCCTACAGCATTAGGTTTCATATTACTGCATGTAATTTTACTAGCGAATGAATAGAAAGATAAGGTTTAGAAATATAAACACCTATTGTCTTGTAACAAAATTAAGCAAAGAGAAAAAAGACCTACTAGGAATAGAACATTGGCACACAGCTGTCTCAAGCCCCCACAAGCTGTTGGCCTAGCCTTTTCCTCACTTTCTGTGTATGGCTGTGAAAAGTGTTCTACTCAAAGATGGAAAGTCACCATCTCTGAGCAATGGTACAACAGGGGTCAAGAGGCTCCAAAGATAGAGAATAAAGTGCAAATGAGGATGCAAACTTTTCAAATGGTTATCTCTAGTGAAATTTTTAGTTGTTAACTATTAAAAAGACCTTTCTATTACTGAATGTCCACTAAAAATCTTTGTGTTCTTTACCTCTTGCTCTCTTTTTCCACTGAAACAATGGTTTAATACAAAACTTTAAAATAAATGCTGTGCTTCAAGTATATTACATTAATTAATCTTCCAAATTGGCAAAGTTAATGTATTGTGTAGTAGTATAAAAATGTAAGTCACTTCATATTATTACATTTAAAGGAAAAGATCTTCAATTACTGGAGACAGAGAAATAGAGAGGGACACACACACACACACACACACACACACACACACACACACGCACAGGCACAGGCACAGATACAGACTGCTTCCCCTCCTTACACCTGAGTAGATCATATAGCAGATGATTGGCACTATCAATCTGATTTCCAAATCCCTGTATCCTTTTCACCTTAGTATTTATTCCCCTTTTTAGATCTAATACTAATGACAACATCTTACATAAAGATGCAAGATAGAAACCAAAAACATCCCAGAGATATAACATCTCCAAATAAAACAATCATTTGTACCTGTATTTGTTCCTCCTAGAGTGAACCCAGTGGCAGGCTTAGATCCAAAAAGTCCTCCAGTTCCAGCTCCAAAAGCATAAGTAGCAGATGTAGTTGCTGGAGTAAGAGTGCTTCCAAGAGTTCCAAAGTTAAGTCCCAAAGGGTTGCTTATTTAAAGAAAAAAAAAAAAAAAAGCAGTCTACTAAATTAACTTTTCAGTATTTTCTTTATATAACATATCAAACATATCTAAGATCTTAAAGAGCTAACAAGAAATTTGTATTTAACCAAACAGGTTAAAAACTGTATTCCCTTAAGAGTAAATCCAAATGTAAAATCAGTAAAAAAAAAAAAAATACATACAATACCAGGCTTCAAGCAAGAATCATATACATTCTGCCTTTATCACTATTTGTTCAACACCTAGTATATTTTAAATGGCCACAGGAAATTTTATGAATGTGGATCATTTTCCTTTTAAACCATTCAAGTACAGTTCACATTTCTAAATTCAGTTGTTCACCCAAGTATGGATATAAAGATGTCAGAACAGGGCCAAGGATTTAGCTCAGCAGCATAAGCGCCTGTCTTGCAAGTGAGAGGTCGTGAGTTCAATCCCCTGTACCAAAAAAGATATAATAACAAATAGAAAAGCTATTCTATGCCATCTTTCCCACTCTTCTGTAATATATATTTCTTTTTTTTTGGTATGGGGGATTGAACTCACGCCAGGCAGGCACTGTGCCACTAAATCCAGCTAAATCCCCAGCTCTACATTACTCAGTGGGAGAGGGAAGCATGCTATCTTGCCCCTCCTCGATATAAAATTTGGGGGAGGGCTGGGAAGGGTGATAAGCATATCCTGGCAAAAAATAAAGCAAAGCAAAATTACTCTGCCCAGATTATGTTTATTAGCACAAAGTCTGCAGAGAACTTCTGAAAAGCCTAAAAAGAAGCCAATGTGAATAAAATCCACAACTTTATAACTGTTCTTACCAAGCCTCAGAAGCTCAAATTCGCTGTCTACAGGTGGACAACTATGAAAATAAACAAAATCTTTGACAATCTGACACTTCAAAGACCACGTAGGAGGGTAACAGAGATAGCAGGCTTGTGGAAATCCTATCATTCCATATATTTATTGATTCTCTGTCTCTCCATAAAGACATCAATCACTGTAAGAGAACTCTGTCCCTTACAAATATTAAAAGCCCTGGAGGTTTCAATGTGAGGAAGAGGCAGTAGTGCTGCGGCTGATTTCCAGTGCCACTTTCCCATGTGCAGGTAAAGGAACAACATTTTTTTTTTAAAGCCTACTTTCTTCATCTGCAATGTAAATCCAACACGCCCAATCAGCTGGGTTTTTTAAAAGAAGGTTAAGAAATTATTCAGGGCCAAGTGTGATGGCTGAGGTAAGGTGCCTCAGCTGAGGCAGGAGGATCTCTGTGAGTTTGAGGCCAGTCTAGGCTACAACCAGTCTGAACTGCACAGCAGAAGCCTGTTTTAAAAAGACAAAGAAAGAAAAAAGAAAAAAGAAACACATTTGCTAAGCATGCTAGAAGGCTAAGGCAGCAGGATCCCTGCAAGTTGGAGGCCAGCCTGGGCTACATGGTGAATTCAAAACCAGCCTGAACTACATAAGGAGACCCCATCTCAAAACACCAAAGTAAAAAATAAATAAATAAATAAATAAAAATTCAAATGAGTAAGGAGTCCTTCAGTATATGAAGAGCACAAGTAAGACAGAATAACACTGCAAGGTCTCACTGACAATTAAAAGCAAGGATATTATTGACTATCATTAAAAAAAAAACCCACAAACCTAAAAAACAGAATTAAAAGTGAGATGGTATAGTACAAAAGAGTTGCAAGTCTAACATGTACGACAACAAAAAGAACAAAAGAGAAATAATACACAAAAACAGTTGGCTTAACTAGTCAGTCTGAAATATTGTTTTTTTTGCATCTGTTGAGTAGGCTAGAAACCTGGGTATTTTTTGGATATTAAAGTATTGGCCAGTTTTGAAGGCAATTATGTTCCCCTTACTCCCAAACAAATTGGGAACTATTCCAAACAAATCTTAAACTATTCCAGATATGAATAAAAAAAAAACAGTGCAAGTATTTTTAGATGATTAATTGAAATATTTAAAATTTCCTGACAACTTAAAATAACTGAAGATAGTATGAATTGCCACACAAAAGTTGAAAATATTTCCAAGGAAATACATTAAAATGCCATAATTACTGTAGACCTGATCAATTATTCACTCAACCCAGTGTTATCTGCCAAAGTTACAACAGAATGTGTTGCAGAAAAGCAAAATTTACTCCATCAAGTCACAAACACGATTTTAACTTTCCTGCGTGCCTTGATGTAGACAAGGGAACTAACATAAGTGCTTACATTTACAGAGCACTTAGCAAGTACCAGACCTAATACTTGACAAACTTCAACTAACAAGTTCAGAATATTATTATATCTCTTTCCCAAGTGAAGGAACTGCAGCATGGAGAGTAACTCCTCCAAAATGATGCACCTCAAGAGACCAAATGACCAGGTGGCAGAGTCAGGTCTCCTAACCAGCATCAAGTGAACACGTTAAAACCCCTCTCCTTTTACTTTGTCCCAGCCTTTCTAAAGTTTAGGTAAATTCTATTTTATTACTAATAATTCACTTACTCATTCAATAAGTATTAAGGATCTTTTTCTATATCAAATGGTTCCTAGGAACAGAGAATGGAGTAGTTAATAAGACTGACTTTGAAATTTCCAGACAGTAGGAAGCAAAGATAGTGATCATTCATTCACTCACTGAATAGGTACAGAGCTCCAAGTACTGTGTCTTCTGGAAAGCCAGTATAAAAAGATCTCTGCCATCACAGAGCTTACATTCTAAGACTGGTGTTAGACCATCAACAAGTAAACAATAAATAAAAACAAATGTGGCAAATATTCTAACACTATCAGGTACTATGGACTCCCCAAGACTGGCAACAGAAAAGGACTTTCTAAAAGAAGTAGGAATTACCTAGGGACAGTAAAGCAGGTAGGTGTATTGTAAGCTGAGGGAACTGCTCTCACAGGGGAAGGATTGGCCAAAGCCACCCAGGAACTGAGAAAAGTCTATGATGCTAGGGCAGTACTTTTCCAACTAAGACCAAAACCATCAGGAGAGGATTGAAATTAACTTGGAGAGTTTAACTGCAGGATTTTAAAAAATGAAATTAGAAAGTAACAAAATGTATCCCTCGAAGTAGGAGTATTCTTCTCTGAAACTATTTCAACTTGTATTTACACACCTGTACTTGCAGTAAAGGTTAATTGACAGTGGGTCAGGAAGAGAAAATGCATAAAAATGGGCCCATGATGGGCTTGAAGAAGTTTCAGATCACTCCAGGCCTTGTAGATGACAAGACCTTTCTGCATTTCCCTTTAAGCACGATGGGAAATAATTACAAGGACAGCAAAGGCTGGTTTTAGTTTTGAGGGGTTTTTGTTTTGCTTTTTAAGTCATTCTGGCTAGAAGGCAACAAAAGAGCCTGTGTAAAACCAGATTCCACTGAACGAATGCAGGAGTTTATGAGCACAGTTTTTTATCCAATAAAAGAATGGTTTGGAATCAAGTATTATTATAACAATATAAGTGTTGAGGCCGGAGATGTAGCAAGCGGTATAAGCGCGCAAGGTCATAAATTCGATTCCCTGTACCAAAAAAAAAAAAAAAAAAAAAAAAAGAAAGAAAGAACGAAAGAAAAGGGAATTGTTGTCGGGACTTGGCTCAGTGGTATAAGCGCCTGCCTGACAAGTGAAAGGATCGGTGAGTTAGATCCCGTTACAAAAAAAAAAAAAAGGAGGGGGGGGGTTGGGGATTTAGCTCAGCGGCATGAGCGCCTGGGTTCTTGTATCTCACGATATAAAATAAAAGAATTGCCCAACGGATATTTGCTATCTGAATGACAACAGCTTGGAGCAGGGTAGTAAATTGCTTTAAATTCTGTTGCACTTTTATCAGTGCATATGAAGACAAATGGAAACTGCACAAATAAAATTATCAAAACTTGCTAATTAAAAATGTTGACTAAGAGAACAGAATAGAAAAGTACTGTGGAAAACCTGCAGATTTTTGAGTTGATTGTACAGTTTTTTTCCTTTTTCTTTTCTTCCCAAAACTCGTTTTCATCTTTCTTCTTTTCTCTTTTCGTTTCTTAAAAAACAGGCAATGTTCAAGCTACTTTTGCCTTTTTGATCTATGTCATTTCCTTTATCTTCGTTTTATAGAATACACATTTCTTGATTTTGTGAACGCCCTCCATCTTTATCTCCAAAAGACTAAGCTCCTGAATCTCTCATTCAAATGAACTCTTCCCATTTTGTTTTTCTGGATCTCCTCTGGTTATAACGCTGTCACCACCTCAACCAGGACACTGCATGAAAACGAATAATATACTACCTACATTTTGTAAGATACGAGTCGCTACAAAACCATTCTTATCCACTATACGTTAATATCACCATCGCCACCTATTGCTAGAAATTACTTCTAAAAAATCATATAGGATTCTGATGTGGCACAAAGGCTTGCTTGTGACACGAAAAGATAATCACAAAATCATTTTTTAAAAAAACCTGTAATAATGTGGAGTCAAAACTTTTGCTTTCAAAATTTTCCATTGTGCCTTTGTGAAATCCCCGATACGCTGCAATTTCATTCATTCGATCAACATTCATTCGGTGCCTCAGACTGACGCCTCCTGAAGGCGTGGGGGTGAAACTCAACGCCCCCTCCACCCCGATGGACTCCCGGGCTGGACTAAGCCTGCCGCGCCGTGGACCCTAGACGTCGCAGCGCATAGCCCGCCCACCAGGCCGGCAAGGCGGCGAGCAGGAGTCCCACATGCCGAGGCCACCGGGAAGGAAGTCGGCGGGAAGAGAGGGTGCGGACACCCGAAAGCCTCGTGGGAAGGGAAGGGGCGCAGGGTTACCTAGACGCTCCGGCCCCGAAGGAGAAACCGCCGCCGGTGCCGGTCCCGCCGGTGGCCACAGTGGTGGAGCCCGCGGACGCGGACCCGAAAGAGAACCCTGTGGACATAGCTGCCCCGGGTTTGATGCGCTCCACAGACTGAAAGGGGCCTGGGTCGCTTCTCTCGCCTCACAGCCGAGGTGGACCGCGGAGCATCTTTTCAAATCGGCCCTGACCCGGCGGGAATGTCAACTCCCGGGGCCTGCGAAAGCAGGCCAGCCCGAAGGGGGCGGAGCAGTCACGCAAAAGCACTCCAGACGCTCCCGCGCGTTCGGGCACGCCGGAAGTGAGCTTTCAGACACGCCGGAAGTGAGCCTGCGCGCAGGGACCTTTGGGATGGCGCGCCGCGCAAGGAACCCCGGGACGCGGGACGCAGCTAGCGTCACCTAGTCTCTTAAAGGGGTAGGCTCTCAGCATTCAAAGCACGAAACACATCTCGTCTTCTCTTCCGTAGTTCTTTGATCTTTTTCAGTATTTGTGGTTGATGAATCTCAATTATCGCTTCTATCCTGCCACGACCGGCTCGCAGAACCCCAGAGTTGGAGAAGTTCTGTCACCTTGTGTTAATGCTAGAGAAACTGCCAAGTGGAAGGTGTGACAAAAGTAGGTGAAACGCCACGGCCCCCTGAGCGACACAGGGAAAATGCGGGTTTAGAGAAGGATGCCGCTTCCGCGCAAGCATCAGGAAAGGAGTCCTGCCGGTAGTGGGTGAAAGGTGGGTAGTGGGTGAAAGGTGCAATCCTGTCCATCAGACATCGTCGGTACTCCCCTAACTGGTTTGCCTAACTGCAATGTCTTACTGCGGGGGAAACATGAACAACGCCTCGGAATTTTTCTCCTGGAGCTTATTCTCATCACGACAGTTTCTTGATGGCTGCCTAAATGTGTCACTCCACGTCCTTCATATGACAAATCTGTGAAACATTCCGTCTCACAGCTTCTCTTAATTCTGCTTTCTCATCTGTGCATTGCCACCCGCTATGATCTGAATTATGCGCCCTCCACATTCATATGTTGACACCCTTCATCCGTCCCCTATCTATTTATGGAAGCCTTCCACTTCCTCGAGTTCATTTTTGACCCCACTTGGCTCTACGGGGAGGTAGATCTTAATCTACTAAATTTAGATTAAGACTTGAAAGCGGGTCTCCCTTGGTTACCCTTAAGAAATAGGAAAGGGCTATCTCTCCTCATCCCACAATGTGATAACACAGCAAGAGGAGCCTTCTGGAAGTGAGGCAGAAAGTCCTCACCAGGAGCCAAATCTGGTACCTTGATCTTGGGTTACCCAGGCTCCAGAACTATAAGAAATAAATGTCTGCTATTCTGACTGCCTCATTTTATGTATTTATTGCGTCAGCCCAAGCAAACTGATACATCACTTATGTAATTTAAAACACATAGCATTTTAAACATGGAAGACAATGGGAATGATAAAACAAGAAAGGGACATAATAAGTGGCAGACAGGAAGCAGATGGAGCAAAGAGAGAAGGCAGGGAGGGAGATAATCTCCCCCAGAACATGCCTCCATTGAGCTTCCTTTTCCAACCTGACCCTAGCTTCTAATAGCAAGTCAGCTAGCAATAAGCACCTATGACTCAATCACCTTCTGAAAGTCTTGCCTAGGAGAGTTTGAGACTCTTGGCCACATCTAGAGATAAACCATAACAGAACCCAAAACTCCACAGAAAAAAGCTCTGCAGACACAAAGTTTTGATGAAAAGCATTACATTCTACCATATACCTCTAGATATACCAAGTCTAAGACTGGTCTTCAAAGACAATATGTAATAACCCTCCTGCTGTCCTATTAGCAGAATGAAAATACTTCATATTCTTATCTTCTACCAAACAACTCCTTCCAAAAGGGAAATTTCAGAAAGTTCAATTCTTTAGTTAACTACAAATTGACAATAAAGGGTAATAACCCAAGGGTCATGCAAATTTAAGATAAGCCTAAAACTCTATCCCCAAGTCAGACAAAACCACAGAGCACCAAAGTTGGCTTGATATTCATTACTTAGTCTACTACAAGCTATCACATCCCTTCCAAAGGATCTTACCACTCTTACTCTGTCATCCTGAGACCTGACTGCAAGTGTCAGTTCTATTCATATAGAACTCTGTTTTTCAACGCTGAAACAAATGATTCCGATTCTAAATTCTATGGCAAGCCATTTGTTCCCCCTGTTACTTCTATTGTGAGAAATCTGCTGAGAAACCCCATTATTGGGTGATTTGTTGCTTGGATGATGTCAGCCCACTCAGGGGTCCCAAGAAACATTTTCCCAAATGAGGTCCCAAGGTTAAAAAGAATATACACATACAAGACATCAACAGGAACAAGCGCACAGCACGGAGCAGAGCAGAAAGCCATAGCAAAAGCCACCTGCCTCTTTATTGTAAAATTCTTATATAGTTTGTTATCTCATGTTTACATTCTTTTTTTTTTTTCATTTTTTTTTATTTTAAAGAAATGAAGACCAAAAAGGACATAACAAAGCAGATCAGAACAGAACAATGTAAGCAACACAATATTTTACCACAAAACAACCCGATATTAACAGTAGCTACCATAATGTCTCTGAAACAGTTGAGCATACCTTCATATACAATAGTATCAAACATAACAAAATAGTATAAAACCATTCAAGAGAATGAAAGTATTACAGGGGCATTCAGAACCAAATAACAGAAAATGAACAATTGCTACTATATTATCTCATTGTCCATAAAAATTTGTTTATACTCTCACAGATAATAAAATCCAATAAGATACAACATGATAGAACCAATAGAAACAGAAGAACAAAAGCATGGTAGGACTTCAAAGCAAGATGATATTAAATCAGCACTGGCTATTATAATGTCTTGTTTTCTTCAACATGTTTTACATTCTTACATTGTGCCGTAACCAGCCCATGTGTGTTTACCTGTGATGTCTTGGTTATATAACTTTCATACTGTAAGTCCACATTACACAAGAAGGGTCAAGTCCTCAAGTGTCCTTAGATACCCTTGAGCTTTGAAGCAGTTTGGGTGGTTGCCCATTGATGATAACTTTTTGTTTTGTTTTGTTTTGTTTGAGGCAGGGTCTCACACTCATTACTGTAGCCAAGGACGGCTTTGAACTTGTTTCATTAATGTGAGAAGTTGAAAGAAACAACATATGTATATTATATGTGTATATGTATGTATATAAAAGAAACAGTTAAGATAGTTATACTACTGATTTCTCTGAGTCCACTAAAGAGAAAGATTTGTACTGGTATTTTTCAGACAATTGAATGCAGATGTCTTGTGTTCTGGGTGAATGATTTGGGGATGATAATGCACAGTATATATACCATTGTTGCCCCTGATTTATGTGGTTTGAAATTTTGTTGTAGTTTTTTTCCTACTTCTTTTTTTATCCTTGAAATAAAATGGATTTGGAAAAAAGAATAGCAATTTATAATTAATTGCAATGCAAGTTACTAATTTTTATGCCATTGTTTAAATATTCTTCCAAAATTTAAGATTATTCTCAAATATTCTCTAAAATATTTATTATGCCGCTTTTTAAGTTTGACTCTTTAATCAATGTAACAATGCATAATGTAGTGTGAGCATAAACATTTCATTTTTTCTGCGTATAGCTATCAAATTTAGACAGTGCTTAGTTACTGAGAAAAGTATTTCCTCCTATTGATCTTAAATACTAAATTTCTTTTAAATCTAACATTATTTATATGTGATCCTTTTTCTGAAATCTTGATACAGTGCCTGAAGCCCGATTTGCCTATTAATATTTCAACACATCATTTACACTACTATAGATTTGTAATGAGTCTTGATACTCTTTTAGAAAACAAACTTTGCCTTCTTGTTTTTCCTTAAAATGATCCTTGGCTCTTTACCCCCCCGCACACACAAATGTATGACTAATAGAGTCATTTCATCACACTCAAAGTTACAGTTTTCCTCACTACAATATACACATACATCACGCTTGTTAGGATATTAACTGGGAATATGTTGAACTTACAGAGACATAGGTCATATTGGAAATAATTGACACTTAAAGGATGTTTTCTAACTCACAAATGCAGTACATATCTATTTAGGTCTGTAGGTGTGTGTATTTGTGATCTGTCTGTGTACCTATTCTATTACATGCTCTATAAAGATCTTATATCTATTTCATTCTATTTATTCATTGACCTCTGATTCCTTTATGCTATGAAAAACATACTTTTTGCAAATTCCATTTCTCCCCTCTACTAACTTGGAACTTATTTTGCTGCTTTTATTATTCCAGCCATTACAAATGAACATAAGTTTTTAAAGATAAGAGTTGACCAATGCTCTTACACCCCTCTGGGACAACACAGGAATCTCAGGACACCTGGCCTCGCTTCTGACTCACATATTTCATTTCTTCACCAAACTTTATTATTGTTTTATGTAACCAGTGCTTGATTGCATTTATTTATTTATTTATTTACATTAAAAAAGAACTTCATTTCTTTTGTATTTTGGTGATTTTTATCTTTGATCACTGTCCCGAGGTATACTTTTAGAATTTACTTTTATTGTGGTTCATTGCAAACTTTAACTTTTTGTTTGAAAATATCTTCTTGGGTCTCATTTTTATTTCCTGAATGATATTTTTCCTGGGCTAATAATTCTAAAGTAGCAGATGTTTCCTTTCAGTACATTGGAGACATCAGTCCAACGTTACATGATTCCCACTCTCGCTGATAAGTCAGCTGTCAGTTTAATTGTTGATCTGATGCAGAACTCAAGAGTCTGGAGAGCCTGAGAGAAACAGGAAGATTTATTTAAGTGTACACCTGACTCAGCAGACTTGTCTAAAGGGCTGAGTGCCAAACAGAGGGAGAAGTCCCCAGTTTACACATTTGTTTGGTATGAAACTGGAAGAGGTTAAAGCAAAGTTACAGAAATGCGACAAAAGCAGTCATCTGCTGAGTGACAGGTTTTATAGCTTATCCTCGAAAGAAAACAGATTTCAGGAATTCCAGGATGTCACAGGACTTGGTTCATGGGAACATAGTTGTCAAACTTATCTGTATCTCTTGAAAGAAAGCATATTCAATAGGACCTGATTTATGGGAACACAATTGGCTATCTTATTAGAAGAGATTAGCAGTTGCAGGAGGGGGAATTTAAGAAGCAGCTGCTCAAGGCTAGGAGGAAAAACACTGATTTCCTCCTCTAAATTCTGCTTTAGATTTACTTTACATTATTTAGTTTTTCTCGTACTTTGGAAGCTTTAAAGATCTCCATTTTCTAAGTGTTGTGGTATGTGCCCAAAGCCTCGAACTCTGGGAAAGTGAAGCAGGAAGATTCGAATTTCAAGTCCAGCATGGGTAACTTAGCAACTAGGGTGATACCCTATCCCAAAAATTTACATAAAATAAAATGTCCTGGGATGTAGCTCAGTGCCAGGCCCTGGGTTCAATTTCTAGTCCTTCAGAAAATGAAAAAAATCTCCATTTTTGCAAAGAGCCATGGCTGAAGAAAGGTCACAAAGCAATGCAAGATTTCTAGGTCTAAAGTTGGCTATGAACCAAGAAATGTGGACAATCTCTAGAAGGTCGAAAGGAGATGCAATTGTTAGAGTAGGCAGCCATCTAAATATGAGCTGGAGCCTGGAAAATAGTAGGTGAAAAAGTCTATACCAATAGACAGAAAGAAACTGATAGGTGAGTTAATTGACAGGTGACAGGTGACACACTGATCTAAGTTTCGAATCTCGCAGAAATGGGTCCTCTACCCCTTTTTGGTATTTCAACCTACCCTGTTATCATTCAAGAGTACCTGGTTGCTACCTAGAGGACCCAGATTCCAGGTTAACCAATGTTGACCCTCTGTAGGCCTCATTTACATATATTTCCATTACAGTTTTGGCCTCCTAATAAGTTTTTGCTACCATGTTGGTTCAAGGACTGTATGTCTGAAAACTCCCCTCTTGAGGGTATGCATTTATTACCAACAGGTGCCACCTCTGTGCTCTGCCTGCTTGGATTTCTCCCAAGTGTACTGTCCTCTCCAACAAAGCTACCTTACTTGTTATTCAATAAGATAGTTGTACCAACTTTTACTTTCTGACTCTGAGTCCCTTCTGTGGACTTCTTCACAAATCCCTTCAGGGAAGATCCAAGAGCAAAGCTGCCCATGCAACACAGATTATCACTCAGGTCAGGCTGATGCCAAAATTCTGGTGACACAATTCCTTTGGGAGGGCTTCTCTTTTTTCAACTTAGTATAAAAGCATTTAGACTTTATCAGTTCTTTGGTTCTTTATTTTCCTATGGGGTCTCCTATGTATATAAATGTAAAAATTGTGTGTGCTTTTTGCCTGCTACTCTTGTTCCTAATTTTCAGGCCATCAAGAGATCTTAAGATGGTAGAGATCAAGTTTTTCCACTCCTAGAGCTCCTTAGAATTAGCAGGTTCTGGTCTTTGCTGGAAGGAGAGAGAGAGAGAGACAGACAGACAGACAGACAGAGATAGAGAGACAAAGAGACAGAGAGACAGACAAGGACAGAGAAACAGAGACAAATTGAGACAGAGATAAAGGCAGACAGAGAGAGAGAGAGAGAGAGAGAGAGAGAGAGACAGAGAGAGAGAGAGAGGTCTTAAGTGACCTTGACTGTTAATCTGATGTGTTAATTTAATTGGATTAAGAAATGCCTAGCAATGGGTAGACTGGAGGAGAGAGACCAGCCCTCTCCTGTGAGTTGGTGCCATTCGCAGACTGCAGGGGAGGAGAACAAGAAATCAACAAGAAGCTAAGAACTCCCTGAGTTGGCACCATGTGCAGGCTGACTGGGGAAGAGCCAGATGCCAGCTCCTTCTGATGCACAAATAGGGAGACAGAAAGAGCCAATGTTCCTCCCTTTATGCCCCTCATAAGCAACCAGCTGATCTGGAGAAGCATAGGCTGTGATGGTGACAAATGAGGTAAAGTACTACTTAATGCTTGTAGTGTTTAATGTTTCACTGACTTTGCAGACCTAAAATTGGTAATCTGACCCTCTATTCAGAGGATAACAATATGCAATATAAAATCTATGGGGGATCTCCTTCTGGGTGGTTAATTCCCTATTATCTTGTTTCAAAATCCTGTATCATTCTCGTTGTTTTGTTTGGTTGGGTTTTATTCTGTCTTGTCTTGTTTGATTTTGTCATATCTGATGGCATGGGCAGTTATTTTGAAGATAATGAGATATATTATGGTAGGCATTTTGGATTTACTATTATCTTGCTTTGAATTCCTGTATTGCATTCATTGTTTTGTTTTTATTGGTTCTATTGTTTCTGTTTTGTTTGATTTTCCTATGTCTAAAGGTATGAGTAGCTATTTTAAAGATGACAAGAGGCATTATGGTAACCATTGTTGATTTCCTATTATCTTGTTTTGAAATCCTGTGTCACTTACATTGCCATGTTTTGATTCACTTTATTTTGTTTGGTTTTATTTTCTAAAATAAAATTTTTAAAAATTTTTTTATGTTGGAAATCATGTAGGTATTTAATAGCAGAGTAAATTTTAAATAAATAAGAATGGAATATTATCCAAAAGAAAAAAAAAGAAAGAAAGAAGTAAGAAAGAAATGCCTAGCAAGTTAGCAGAGCACATACATGGGTGAATCTGGGTGGGTCATGGGAGCATGGTCTTGGGTACTATAATGGCCCCTCACTTCTTCTCTTGGTTGCATTTCCCTCTGCTCCTGGCCACCATGAACTTAGCAGCTTTGCCCTGCTATGCACTTCCCTATGATTCTTGTGCCTTAGAGCCCACTGATTATGGACTGAATCCCCTCAAACCCTGAGCTAAATTAAAGCCTTACCTCTTCTAAGTTGTGATGCCTAGTGCTGTGTGCAGCAACAAGAAAGCTGTATAATACATTGGGTATGAAAATAACTTTTTAGATCATGATTCATGAAAATTGATAAGCTTGAGTTAATTGAAATTTAAAACTTCAATTCTGTTAAAGATAATGTGAAAAAAATGAGAAAAAAGCTACAGAATGAAAGAAAATGCATGCAAAATATACATCTGATAAATAACTGTTTAATTTTTTTTTTTATACTGGGGATTGAACTCACAATCTTGTGCTTCCCAGGCAGGAGCTTAAACCCTTGGCCCATAACTGTTAAATTTTTAAGAATCTATTAAAATTAGAATAAGAAAAATAATTCAATTTTTAACGTTCCAAGAAAAATATGTACAGAATGAAAATAGGCATATGAAATGATTCTCCACATCAAATATCATTAGAGAAACACAAATTAAAATGAAACACCACTATACACCTGTTAGAAAGTCCAAAACCCAGGCAACACCAAATTTTGGAGCAACAGGACTCTTATTCATTGCTCATCGTTCTGACTGCCTATAATGTTTCTACCTAACTTGGCTGTCTAAAACAACGAATTTCACAGACATCTAGTCTGCCTTTACTTGTCAAATGCCCTTTATTCAGGACCCATCCTGAAATGCAGAAATGTCTTCTATCCATTGGTCGCTGGGCTCTGGAGCTCCTAGTCTGCATGACAAAAGGACCCCCCGGAGTGGGACTGCCAGCCCTATCAGTCTTCCACCTGCTGAGGGCGCTGTGGTACCGCCTGGCACCCGGAAGTCGCTGTCTGTCGGCGGGCGCTCTGCCCGCACGCCCTGCGTACCCTCGCCGGCCGCGCGGCTTGGGGGAAGTGTTTCTAGGAGACGGCGCTCGCCTCCAGCGCAGGCGCAGTAGACGCCACCGGGAAGGGCTGGCCCCACGGAGGCGCTGGCCGGTGGAGGGAGTACTCGCCCATTTTGGGCTGCCGTCGCCTCCCGGTTTCTCTCGCTCCATGGTACCTGTGAGGTCGTCTGTCGTCTGAGGGATGGAGCACATCCGAACGACCAAGGTACCCGGGTGCGGGAGAGTATTCGCCGCTGGCTGGGGTCTCTCCCCGAAGTGGGAGGTGGCGAAGACCGGGCCGGGGCGGGGACGGCGGGGCGGGCGGGGCCTGTGAGGCGGAGGCGCCTGGCGGGCCTGGTTAGGGGTCGGGGTCCTTAGTTAGGGTCCTGGGATGGGTTGGAGGCCTATGACTGTGGAATCAGGGTCTCAGCGGTTCGAGACGCTACGGGGTAAGTGCGGGAAGATGGGTCGCTGCCCTCTGCCTTGCGTGTTGTTTTCGGCGAAATCGGGGCGGCCCGAGCTGCGGGGCTGTCAGCCCTGAGCGGTCTGGACACCGAGGCTCGGGGTCCCTGCGCGAACTGGGCTGCACTGTGCGCGTCGTTCGGTCCTTTCCATCGTTTCATTGTCAGGTGTCTCCGGTTAACGATGCAAGTTTTGGAGGTGATCTCAGGAAGCTGATGCTCCACTCTCCTTCCTTCTTCCTTTCTTGTCTAGGGCTCCAGTCTTCTGTGTCTGGTGTTTCTGTACCTATACTTCTAATTTAGACACTGTCCTCAGTGTCACTAGTTAATTGAAGAGTTAGCAGGAGGGAAAAATGATTTAAAGGGCTGGGTGCAACGTTCTTTAGCTGAGCTTATCAAATCCAATGTTAGTTTTTGTGTGTGAAAGAAGTTTATGAGTGTGTTACAAGTTAGAAGACGGAAGGAAATAACTCAGAATATTGTTTGTTGAACAGCAGTTTAGTCAAACTTCAACTTCCGGGGGTAGAAAAACAGAAATCTAGCCCAAAACTGAGTTAACATTTTAGACCCATAGGAGTCTGTTAATTGGGAGGAGAACCCACTGTAAAGGCTGACTCTGCGTGTTTGGCCAGAGCTCATGTTAAAGATACAGTTCATTTAGTAAGAAGCAGACTTGGTAAGAAGTTTTTTTATTTGTTTGTTTGGTCTTTTCGAGACAGGGTTTTGCTGTGCAGTTCAGGCTGGCCTGGGCTCACTTTGTAGACCAGGTTGGTCTGGAAATTGCAGTAGAAGGTGCAAAGGTGGATAAAAGGATAGAGTGGGTCTGGGCTCAGGTTCTTGTCCTGATTTCAGGGTCCAGATGTGTGTTATATAGTAGCTTTTGGCACCTAACTTCCCCCTGTACCCTTTGAACCTCATTTTTCATATACTTGCTACAGTGCATAACACAATGGAAAGCCCTTACAAATGAAGTGAATCTAATTAAATAAAGTGTATTCTTAAGTGAATGAAAAGAGTAAAGACTATCAGAAGTTTTGGGGAATCCATTCATTTATTTCTGGTCTTAGAGACTGAACTTGTGGTGTCACGAATGCTAGGTAAGTATAGTACTTGAGCTACATCCCCAGGTGCTCCCCCATTGCTTTTTAGGTTTTGAGACAGAATCTAAGTTACCTAGGCAGAATGTCCCAGCTCTCCAAAGTGTGAATGCTTTTTCTAGTGTCTCCAGTATTATTCCAATTGCTAAATATGTATTACTTTAAACATAAATCCAGATATTCTAAAAGCTTTTTCTTGTCTAGTGTGGTGGTGTATATACTCAAGAGGCTGAGGCAGGAGGGTTGCTCTGAGTTCAGGGCCAGCCTGGGCCACATAGTTCAAAGCCAGCCTGAACTACATAGTGAGACTGTCTCTCAAAAACAAAAACACCACAAACCGGTTTTTTGTTTCCCAAATCTTTTCGTGTTGTAAATACATAATATTTAATGCACTGTTACTATCTTCTTATATGTAGAATCAGGGATTTTATTATGATCATCTCATTAGAGATTATTACTTTAGCTGAGGATTCTGTGAATTTGTAGTGTTAAAATTCATGAACAAATATATAATCTGGCTTTAGTCACATTGGTTTTACTAATTGTACAACCTCAGTGAATGTGACAAGTTTCTGAATTTGAATTTCCAAGCTATGCTTCAGTACCAGTAGCTGCCGCCTGATTTCACCAGAACAATGAGCTCCTCCTCCCAAGAACCAGGGAGAAGTCTGAAGAGGCAGTTCACCATGCATCGTGTGTCCTTTTTCTGCCAGGCTCCATGCTTTGGCTTACACCGTATGCTGATGTCCAGTGATACTGTGTTGTCTGTGAATAGAACTTTACATAATGGGTGGGAAGAACATTTCCTGAGCTGTAAAAGGGAGGCTGCTTTTTAGAGTTTGTTGTAGACTCGAATGTTCCCCTAAAAATCTGATCCTAGGGGGGCTCAAACTGAGTTATCCCCAAAACAGTCTCAGCTTGCTGTCTTTTTGTCCCTAGAATGTGAGGTCATGCAGGCAGATACACACCATCTGTTACAAAGAGATCTAATGAGAAAGTGGTATTGTTCAAGGTGTCTTCGTAATAAAGAGCCAATGGGTTTTGAGGACTGCCTGAATTTTTCCCCCCCAAGTCCTGTGGTATTTTGGCTGTCACTGCTATTACCCTGTTTTATAAGTGAGAAAACTGAAATTTGTAGAGACTGAATCACCTGTCCTAGCTCACACAGCCTACTGGGAATGAGCAAGCTCAGAGCTCCCTGGAGCTGGGTGTTTCTGGTACCAGACCTGTTCTCCTAACCACAGAGTACCTGATTGAGAGATGGGAATAGTAAGGTTGGACAGAGTTAGAAAAGAGAGGTGGAGAGATTTTGTCTGCTACTTAGCTCATTGTAAGGTTGCAGAGTTAGGGGCAAGATCTGACCTTGAGAGGTCGACTTTGGAATCCTGTGTGTTGAGGTAACCTGAAAAATTTTTGCTGCAGATATTTTTGCAAAGGGACTATATTGTAGAGGGGAGTGAAGCAGTTAGGGTCCTGGTCTGAAAAGAGGACAAGCAGAGGGAGAGGAACAAGAAGAGTGCAGTGCTTATAAAATCTGGAAAGGCAAATCATATCTGTGAAAGGAGCAGACTTCCCTACTGTGTCCCTTCACCTTCTCCTGCTTCAGCCTTCTCTTTGGGGCAGGCACTGTTTAGGTAGTAGGGAAATGGCAGGGAACAGACCAGACAGAAACTACCCTGATAAAATGTATTTCCTAGTTGGAGGAGTCATAATAATATAGTTTCCTAGATAGTGGTAAGTGCTATAAGGAAAAACAAAGCCATCGTGTAATCTCAGCATGGGGAGGCTGAGTCAGGAGGATACACACTGAGTTCTTAGGCCAGCCAAATACATAGCAAGACTCTGTTTCACTAAAAACGAAACAAAAAACCAAGGCCCTAGAGAACTAGAGGCTCTGGAGAGTGGCTGGGTGAGGTTGGAGGGACAGATGTCAGTTGGGTAGTTCAGACTTGAAATGAGCCATCCTCATTTGGGTCTCCATAGCGGCTCATCAGGTCATAAATCGTTTTTGGGAGGGCCTTGTTGCTAAAAACTAGCAAGGCTAGATTGAAAGAGAACAGAATAGATTAAAGTTAGAGGACAGAGGCAAGTTGCTGTAGACCTCTCACGGCCTTTGTAAAACCTTTGCTTTTACTCTGAGTTAGGCAGGAAGACATTGATGGAGTATCAGTTCTTTCCAGCATTACAGAAAGGAAAAATAAGATACAACTGATTCCCACTGGATTTATTCAATTTGAGGTTCTCGTTTTTTTCTCTGAAGTCCATAAGTGTTTCACTGGCAATTTTTTTTTTTTTTTAAAGGAGGAAAGATTTATTTCAGCTCACAGTTTGTAGAGGTTTCAGTCCATAGTCAGCTGGCTACAAGACAGGGTGGTATGGCATGCATCATAGAGGAGAAATAGTTCATATAGGAATAGGCAGGAGTCAGTAGGGTAATAAGCAGCAGCAAGCAGCAGCAACAACCTTGCCTTCTTTCTGTCCCTGTATGTTCCATCCAACTTACATGCTTATTGACAGGTTTCACCCATACCCAGGACAGGGTTTCCATTATCCACATCCTTAGTCTTCACTGGCAATTTGAGGCCACCATGCTTTGTTTTCTCTGTACGCCTTGTCTTTGACAGCTAATTCTTGGCAGGATGTCGGTGTGGTTCAGCGATTCTGCGGGTCCCAAGTGGGTGCTTGGCTTTAGGGAAGGGACAGCACAGACATCAGGAGCTGTGGTGCATGCTCTGCTCGGGGCCCTCTGCACACGCTGTCATGTAGTTAGAGGGTAAGTGTCACTATTGGTCACAGGAGTTTGACTGGAGAAGGCCGTTGGTCCCAGAGGCCACTTTTCCCTCTTGATGAATTTTCTTAATGTCATTCTGTGTGTGGGTGATTCCCTGCATTTTCCATTGTCAAGTTTTCAGTGGGCTGGAATTTGAACTTCCTGTGTAGAAAGTTTCGTGTGGGCCTGTGGTTAGCAGCAGTTTGTCTTAGTTGTTCTTAAAGTGCCCTTTACTGGCATTTAGTGGCTGTCACACTCTGTGATGCTGACTGTTGGGTCATCTTGAGTTAGAAACGCCCACTCGATTGGCTTAGCAGAGCTGTAAGCCTGACCAGGTGGGTTTGCCGAGGGCAGCAGACTGACGTGGTAAGTGGCACCTGTTGGTAGGCGTACAGCCTGAGTGGAGTGACAAGGACGAGGGCTTGCTTCTGTCTCTCCAAGGCGCTCTGGATTTAACCTGCTCCTTGGGCGCCAGGCTCCTGGCCTCCCTCAGGTCCTTCCGCTTCCTGCTGTGGACCAGTGAGCGCTGGCGGGGTGAGGTGGGACCCTGCAGTGACTCCGGGCCTTTGACTTTCCAATCCTCTGGTCTTCAGCAGCCCTGTGGCACGCTCCCGCTCCAACTCTGCATGTGGCCATTGTAAGCCTATGGTGTGTCTGTGTCTGTGTGTCTGTGTCTTATATTCTATTTCTCTGGTGAGTGCAGCCTATTGATTCAGCCTCCAATACCTTTCTCTTTGCCCATTGTTTCTTTATTCTTTCTTTTCCAGTCTTTTTCTCTGTTTAGTTTTTGCTTTTTAGGATCCTAACACTTTTTTTTTTTTTTTTTTTTGGTACCAGGAATCAAACTCACAACCTCACACTTTGCCACGCAGGCGCTTGTGCCACTGAGCTATGTCCC